AAAAAAAAAAAAGAATAAACAATGGTCAGGCTCATATTACAGTTGTGAAAATCAGAAGGGTGTCTGCTGGGTAAAGTTGTCAGTCCTGAAACAGATCCTTTTCAGCATTTCCACATATCTGGCTAGTTGCTGCCTCATCCGGCTGGTTCCAGGAGCTGTCATTCAACCTGCCATCACACTCACAGAATCTCACTCCGAGATGCTGAGACCCAGGGAGGGAAGAAGACCAACCAAAGCCGGAGGATACATTGGTGTCCAGACCAAGACTTGCCCCCTTATCGGTACACAATCCAATGCTCTTTGTTTTCCAAGGGTCAAGGACTAAAAGCTATGAAGGTAATAGAGATGTGGCCCTAAAGATAGGCTTCCTCATGTGAGTGCATTAATCAAGACCTGGAGACACTCAGGATGAAGGTTTATGGGACAAAGTCACCCCCCCCCCCCCCCCCGGTAGAATACGGAAGTTGCTCCTCTTAAGAAATGGAAAAGAAGCACTTGTGTGGCTCAATTGGTTAAGCATCTGCCTTCCGCTCGGATCAAGGTCCCTGGGTTCTGGGATGGAGCCCTGCGTTGAGCTCCTGGCTCAGTGGGAAACCTGATTCTCCCTTTCCCTCTGCTGCTCCCCCTGCTTGTGCTCTCTCTCTCTCTGTCAAATAAATAAATAAATAAATAAAATCTTTAAAAAAAAAAAGATATGGAAGAGTTTGGGATCTTAGCACGTGATAGAGAACAAATAGACACTCCCCCACACACATACACACATACATGCATTTCATTTACTAATCACTAATCATGATTTTTATTTAAAATTAAACAAAACTCTTAAGCAGAAAAGTAAAACTTGTCAAAAATAGGGCACCTAAATACTAGATAGAATGTGATAAGGTCGGGGTGCCTGGGTGGCTCAGTTGGTTAAGTGTCTGCCTTCAGCTCAGGTCATGATCCCAGGGTCCTGGGATCGAGCCCCATGTTGGGCTTCCTGCTTTGCGGGTGTCTGCTTCTCCCTCTCCCTGCCACTCCCCCTCCTCATGCTCTCTCTCTGTGTCAAATAAATAAATAAAATCTTAAAAAAAAAAAAGAGAATGTGATAAGTTACTTCGAAACTTTAACTTAGAAATAAAATACCACTAAATACATGTAGTTTCATAGTCAAGATCACAAACTCCTCATCCCGTATTTCGTTTTCTTTACTAAGACAGAAAACGTTCTAAGCTATTTCCTTCTCTGATGTATGTTCATATCTACTTAATGCATTGCAAAGAAAATAGGCCCTGAATACATATTTTTTGAAAGGATGAGCTCTAGAAAGTCATCAAATGGATTCAGAAGCTACAAATAATGACCTCACTAGAGTCCCCATTTCAATCCCCTGGAAGATTTCAGGTAGTTGTCATGATGAAAAGTCCATATTTCACATATTGACCAAAATTCTTAAGGAAATCAGAGAAAGAGGACTAAAACCTGCCCGTTCATAGGGTGCCTGGGTGGTCCAGTCAGTTAAGCACCTGCCTTCACTCAGGTCATGATCTCAGGGTCCTGGGATCAAGCCCACCTCAGGCTCACCAATCCATGGGGAATCTACTTCTCCCTCTTCCTCTGACCCTCCCCTCCCAATGCTCTCTCTCTCTTCTCTCAAATAAATAAAGTTAAATAAATAAAATCAAAACTGTCCATTCTTAATTAGGTCTTTAAAATATTTTTTTATTCTTTGTTTAGTTCATAATGCTGGAGTTAATAAAAATATTTTACAATACAGCAGGAAAAGAACATGCTTCATAATTTCTTCATAAGTAACAGTGAAAGTTTTATTTAGAATCTTCACATTCTTCTACAGTTAAGGAAAATCTTGGAAAGGATTGTTTTTCTATTTGTTGTGTGCTTATTAAATCACCTAAAGATTTTTTGTTTTTATTGTTGTTTTTAAATTATTTACTCTTTTAATGTACCTTTGTGTGAGTTAAGATAACACAGTGTTCCTGTCATACGGAGACAAAAAGATTTGCTTATACAAAAGAACCCAGAAATAAAAGTTACTGTACATTGTTTAGAACAACAAACCTATAATAGCTTAAAGATTTTTGAAAATTGCTCAAAGGAAGTCTGGCTTGGAGTGTGATCATTGGATAATTCTTCTACAAAGGATTTATTTCTTTTAGGGATCAAACAAATGTTCACAAAAATGATTGCAAACAAATGCCTAAAAGGCCCTTTATCCATACTCCAAAAAAAATAAATTTCTTTTTTTTTCATTCCATAAAACTACCCACAGAAATTCTATTAAATATGGGGGCAAAGTGATAATGACAGAAGCAAAACAATCAGAGACTGACAGACCAATAAGGCTATTGAGTATAATTACTGTGATGTTATTCCTACTAATAGAAATCAGATAACATATGCAGTACATGGAAACATGGGCTCAGTAAATGTATCCAATTCCCCAATCAGATAATACTTATACAGATGCAGAAACAATGAGATCTTCCACATATACATCTCAATGCTAGTCCTTTACAATTATTAATCTGCTAAACTCAAAATTCAGCATCCAGCTGAGCACGTGGAGTAGAGAATCACAATATGGTGGCCTTGTAAAGGACCTCCCGCCCAGACTTATTCAGGCAGACCTCCTGCCCAGCACTACCACATCCCTGACAGAGGTCATCCAGGCTCTGTTCAAATCCTGTAGGGACTGGCATTTCAACACAATCAAAGCTGTTTTGTCCAGTACATCCAATTTTTAGAAAAAAAATTTTTCTCACTCTGAGTTAAATCAACCTCCTGGGGTAACATCCCTCTACTGATCTTTGTTCTATACCTTTAGAGGAAGAGAATTATTTCACCTAAAATGCGTTGAGCACATTTGGGCCAGCCACTTTGCTATATGCTGGCTATAGGGCGATGAACAAAACAAATACCAACTTCTTTCTCCATCCACTCCTTCTTCCCCAAGACCAACCCCAGATATTGAAAGACGGAGTTCACATCCCTACATTTTCTCTGGTCTAGGAAGACTATCCCAGTTTTCTCAACTCTTTTGTCCTTTGACATGCCTTCCAAGACTTTTAAAAATCTGATTGCTTGGGGCGCCTGGGTGGCTCAGTTGGTTAAAGCGACTGCCTTCGGCTCAGGTCATGATCCTGGAGTTCCTGCATCGGGCTCCCTGCTCAGCCGGGAGTCTGCTTCTCCCTCTGACTCTCTTCCCTCTTGTGCTTTCTATCTCTCATTCTCTCTCTCTCTCAAATAAATAAATAAAATCTTTAAAAAAAATAAAATAAATAAATAAATAAAATAAATAAAAATCTGATTGCTTTCTTTTGGAGAAATGACAGTCTCAAGGCAGGCCACTCGAGCTGAACAGAGTGCCTAAAATGCAGTTTGCCCAGTATATAGGACCACGGGATTGCAACTTCTCCGGAACTGAACACAGGAACTTTATTAACACAACCTGGGAAGTCACTCACTATCCGTGTTCACCAGTCTCAATACATTGTTGGATAGAATGCTAATGTGATTATTGTGTTCCAGATACCATAAAGACCCTGAGCAGTGGAAAACTATAGGTGTTTTCTTTTTCCTTCCTTTCTTTCTTCTTTCCTTCTTTCGTTTTTCTTTCTTCTTTCTTTCTTTCCTTTCTTTCTTTCTTCTTTCTTTCTTTCTCTCTCTCTTTCTTCTTTCTTCCTTCCTTTCTTTGTATTTTATTTTTTTGTTTGTTTGTTTTTTTGAGGTTGGGAAGGAGCAGGGAAAAAGGAAGAGAGAGAATCTCAAGCAGCCTCCATGCCCAGTGCCTTGTGTGGAGTCTGATGCAGCACTTAATTTCACACCCCTAAGACCATGACCTGAGCTGAGATCAAGAGTCAGACACTTAGCCCACCGCCGCCGTCGCTTCAGACGCCCCTGCTCCCAAAGGAGCTCCCGGTTCGGTGATGGGGTCTGGGGCTTCCACGTTACTGCAGGACGAAGAGCTCGAGATCAAGAAGGAGACCGGCTTTTCCCACAGTCAGATCACCCACCCCTACAGCCAGTTCACCAGCCCGGACAAAGGAGAGAATGGGACTCTCAGCCGGGAAGATTTCCAGCGAATTCCAGAACTTGCCATCAACCCACTGGGGGACCGGATTATCAATGCCTTCTTTCCAGAGGGAGAGGACCAGGTAAACTTCCGTGGATTCATGAGAACTTTAGCTCATTTTCGACCTATTGAGGATAACGAAAAGAGCAAAGATGTGAATGGACCAGAGCCACTCAACAGCCGAAGCAACAAACTGCACTGTAAGGAGATAAAGTTTTCTGGCTTAAAAAAAAAAAAAAAAAAAGTCAGACACTTAACCGACTGAGCCACCCAGGTGCCCCAACTGTAGGTATTTTATTATCTTCCTCTGTCAGTCTCTGATTCTCCCCTTCACACTTACATATTTGGTACTTTTGTGTTTATTAAAATTATAGATTTGGGGATTTGTTCCAGAGTATTATCTTGTTGAAATGTTTTAATTCCTTATCCCATAATCCAGTGTATTGACTGTTCTCCCCAATGTTTAATACCTGAAAAATAAAGAACACATCTTCTGTTTCATCTTCTGATTCACCAATTTTTAAAAAATTATATTAGAATAAGACTAAGGACAAAGTCCCATGGAAACTATTGAAACTACTGCCTCAATTTGGTTTCCATTAATCCATCAATCACTTGGGAGAGAATTATTCAAATAGCTGTAAATCTATGATGATAACAGAAGATAGAACATACCAAGTGGTTTCCTTAAGCTGGAGGCCATGATACATATTTTATATGTATTATCTCATTTAAACATCATGACAACCTTCATACATTGGTTATTGCTATGTACAAGTTTCATATAATTAATAAGTCTCCTATTTGTAAATATGTTTCAAATGTTTCATATAAGGAAATTGAGACTGAGGGAGGTTAAGTAATTTTCCTACTATCCAAGAAAGTAAGTGGCAGATCTGGAATTCACACACATCTGTTCCACTCCAAAAGCTCATGTCTGTAGTCAAAAGACAGGCTGCTTCCAAATACCATGTCATCACTCAACTCAGATGTGGGAGCCAGTGAGAAATTCTTGACATGTCTCTGTGAGCTCCAGATACATTATGTTCCTGATATTTATTTAACAAAAGGCAATGGGACAATCTGTTCTTCCTGAATCTATGTTGATTCCTAGGGATTTCCTCTTTCCCTTCCAGAGTATGTGACTAACCACTCTGACAGCTTAAACTATCATTTTTTCTGGCTAAACAATAGCACGAGTCCCTACCTGTGGTTTTCTCTCTTTCTGAAAAATGAAATGTTTTCCAGCCTCTGCTATTAGCCATTGCTTTCCTTTTGCATATTTTATCAAATGTTACTGACCATAATTTCAAGATCAAAACCACAAACTCTTTTAGTACATTAGGATGTAATTCTTCTAGACCTAGATGCTTGACCTCTTTCAAAGTGCCAATTAGGTACTGTTAAAATTACATACTCCTCCTAGAGCTGTATTCTTATCCTTTCTCTGACTGCTTTCTTCTCAGATGATATTCCTAAAAACTGCATGTGTGTGTGTGATTAGTATTTATCAAAAGATCAGGGTCAATTCTCTTAAACTCTCCCCTAGAGAGTCCCAGAGAGTTGAGATTTTGCTGTAACATGGTCAAAAAGGAACACTTTCATTTTAAACTTTTCTTTAATTACTATTGGATGTTTTCGTAAATCTCATAAAGTCCATTCCTAAGGAAGAAAATTGGGTATCACCCAGTAAATCTGCTTCATTTTACAGATAAGAAAACTGAGATCTGGAAGGGTCAAAGGACATGCCCATGATGGCATATCTGATAAGTGGAAGAAACATCTTATGTTAAGGGAATAAAAAGTCATAAAATGAATATCATTTTTATTTTTATCAAAATGCATAAATGTGAATTTTAGCAAGTAGTTCCATGGTAATGTTAATTTCTCCCAAATGTCCCTTGTACTTAAGAGACATTTCAGTCCTGATGTTATACATTGTATGTGTTTATTCATGCTTTAAAGGTTATATTTCTGCTCTCCATCTTCCCACGTCTTTATTTGCAAATTTTTACTCACAGATATGTATTGGTCTATTGGTTGCATTTTGAAACCAAATTGTTTAGTGTTCTCACCCTTTGAGATTGCTCCTTCTTAAAGCAATAATATGGAAAATGTCCACAATGATGGAAATACCTGTCTTCCCACATTAGTCACGCCAGGGAAAGCGCGCACCTCTCACATTTTGTATATGAAATATTCCTTAGTCTTGGGAACAACTGTGCTGTGGCTGTTTGCATCATTTACTGCAACCCCCCATCTTCCATTTCTTAACCTCTTTATCTCCAGGAGATAGAAATTTGAAAATTGTCCCCTTGGCAACTTCATACCCCCGTAATTAAACAGAAAAGCCTAAGGACTTTAGAACATCTAAAATATGTGATAAAATTACTACTGCTCCTCAAAAGTCCAAAAGAAAGTAGGAGTTTCTACAGTCACAGTGATTTTCATTCTTACAAGTGATTTCAACTAAATATCACTTTACAAATTCACAAGTGCACAACAGTTTTAATATTGCAGTTAAAATAATAAATGCTATTTCCTTTCCAATGTTTGCCTCACTCTTTATAATCACGAAGAGTCAATAGTCACTTTGTAAGTCATGAAGAAATAATATCATCTTCATTTAATTCTTTTAAATGCTCCTGTGGAAGAATTAGCTCCTCCTATTTTGTTTCCTCAAACCCAGACCACTGCAACCTATGTGGCAGCAAAGCCTTATATATCCAAGGACAGGTGCTTGAACTGTGTTTTCACACATTTGACAGTAATTTTTCCAAATTGATGTTAAAAATATATGATCAAGGGGCACCTGGGTGGCTCAGTCAGTTAAGCGTCTGCCTTCGGCTCAGGTCATGATCCCAGGGTCCTGGGATCAAGCCCCACATCGGGCTCCTTGTTCAGCAGGGGTCTGCTTCTCCCTCTCCCTCTGCTGCTCCCCCTGCTTGTGCTCTCTCTCTCTCTGTCAAAAAAATAAAATATTTAAAATATATATATATACATATGTGATCAAGATTCTCAAAAAAATATGATCATGAGAAAGCTTCAAGATAGAAACGTGTTAGAAAAATAGAGTCAGGCTGTCACCAATAAAAACTGCAACTGTCATGTCTTATTAACCAACTTGGTGGAGAATTAATGGTTCTTATGGGTGAGAGGTGGGAGTGGAATCTGCACATGTCAGAGTAAGTCGGTTCTCCCTTTTCTCTCCTCCTTTGCCTGTTTGTAAATCCAGAACAGAAACAACTCTGGAAAAAATCCAAAAATACTATCATCTTAATTTCAGAAGGAAGGGAGGAATGAAGGAAGACAGCCTCATGATGCTTTGAGGAAGGTGCTCAGTACATAGAGGATGTAAATTGGTATTTCCACCCCCAATTTCCAGCCAGGACATTACCCGAGGCCCTAGGACCCAGACTGAGAAGGGTCAGGGTCTTGACTTGGCACAATAATCCTAATTCTAAGTCTTGGCTTTTTCCATTTTATTATTCTTGTGTTAGCGGATGATTAAAAAAAAGAAAAAAGGAAACCCAGGTGGTCCATGTAATGTGTAAAAGAGAAGGCAGTCCATCAGGGAGCTAGCTGCAAAGGGAGATAGTTTATAAACCTGAAATCCTAGGTGCTAAGGTGAATAGGAGAAAGAAGGAAGTCTGAGAAAATTAGTTAATTCATAATTAGACTTTTAGAAAAAAGGAGACATGAGAGTGCTAGTAGTTGATCTTGAATTAATATAATGGTATTTTTCAGGAACACTTTTTATGAGACATTATAAACCTACTCGAAAACCACCAGCAGAGGGCTCTATCCTAGGTGCATTAGCTTTCAATTACTGCCGCCTACGTTTACCAGAAAACACTCCCTCCATTTGAGACCGAGAAAAGGAGGGCATTATTAACTCTCCTCTCCGCTCTTATAAACTGAAATAAATATAAGTGAAAGGGGAAAATACGAATATAACTATCTTGAATGTCTCCAGCCAGCTTTTTACCTAGGCGACTGGGTGCGTGCCCTGAAATAGAAATATAGGCACAAGGCAGGACGAAACGAAAAGTGAAATGATGAAAATGCATATTTTACTCGTTTATCTTCCTTTTCAAAACAAAGTTTGTTTAGCCTTTACGTTTGCTTTGTTTTGCATTTATTAAGTCCTCCCGGGGATCTTTTCCTACATCATGTGATTGGAGGTTAAAGCGAAATGCACCAGAGATTTAAGAGCAAAGCAAAGCAGGCTCAAGTAAGGAAAATTTTCTCAGTAGAGATTGAGTTTTTATTTGTACATTTTTTGAGACTTTTGAACTTTTTAGATCTTGAAATAATCGCTTCAAAAATTAGTAGATATAATAAGAATTGAACTTTTAAAACGCTTTTAGCGATAACAGGTTTTCAAGAGCGGAAAGAAATCGCTAACAAATAAATCCCCCGGCCGTTCAGGATTTGCTTGTATAAAATCCCGACAGAGGGCGCTGTTGCCCCTTCGATGACTGAGTGTAGGCCTCCCAAGGAAAGATTTCCCTTGCAGTTTCTAGGATTTTTTTGAATAATGCCCATGTTGAAAAACTGACGCGGGTTTTAATTATCGTTATGTACTTCTTTGTATATCTCTTTATGTGTATATATTTTTAAATTTATGCTTCGTTCTTAATAAAACCAGATTTGTTTTTTTTCGGTTTTCCTAAAGAATTTATATAAATTTTAACCAAATATTTCATGATGTTTCTAATCTTAAAAATACCTAATATTAGAAAAAATTACATATGCAAATTTTTAAATTATACATATACAATGCTATAAAATAGCTATGCCAATAATATATTTCAAATAGTTTTGCATATAAAATTATCTTCATGGGGTTTTTTTCTTGCTTTAAGCTTTAGAGTTTATTTATTTTAGACTAATCAATGATATACCAGAACGATTTAAAAGATTTTAGAGGAAAAAAATTTTTTCAAATACTTTTTATTTGGGTTGGCGTGATCTTTAGATTTAAAAAGATAATGGAGTTATTGACTTGAAAGGAAGAAGACAATTATTCTCATTAATAAATTTGTGTCTAGAGCATCTGAATTTCCAAGTCTATAATATTCGTCTTGCAAAATATTGATCTGCGACTGATTTTAATTCTGGAAGGGGTGGGAAGGAATGGTAAAACCGGTACCAAGTCCTACCACACAATGCAATTAGAAAGAATGCCTTCCCATGTCTAAACCAGCTCTGGGGGCAAAGAAGAAATCTTTGCTCACGCTCCCAGTGGGAAATCTGTATAGATTTTGTATTGTTTAAGATGTTAATGTTTAAAGTAAAGGAAAAGAAGATAACAGGATGGAAGGAAGAAAAGGAGGGAGAGAGGAAGGGCAGGAGGGAAGCAGAAAAGGAAAGGCGAAACGTGAAAATTACAACTGGAAATGAAGAAAAAAGGGTTTATTCCTGAAGTTCTTTCTGAAGCACCTTTGCACCTTTTTTTATGTTCCTTTCATTGGACTTATCGTTAAGAAATCAAATCAAAAGCCTGCAGAATTTTTCGTTCTGCATTATATGAAGCTTCTCCTTGGTTTTTATCGAGTCCACCGCGGTTGTCCGGTGCCCTCTCCTGGAAGAGCGTCCGACCCGGCGCGCACAAGGCAGAGCTCAGCAGTCGTGAGATTCACAGACAATCGCCCTTTGCAGATTCACTCTTATCAGTTTTAATAACTTCCACCCCAAATTGCCCCGGTCCCTCCTCATTCCCTCCTGTCATTTATTTTCTGCCCCAGGGGCAGAGATCCTCCACTGGATTTCCCTTCTGGCTGTGGGAATCCTTCCGTACCCTGAAAGGGAGTAGAAAAATAGAGGGGGTGGGAAAAAGAGGAATGAGGTTGAGTATTCACTTCATGATGAAATTCGGAAACCCTGTGCCTTAAAGGGTGCCCATTTTCAAGGTTTTGTTAACTTTGTTATTGTTGTTGTTTATGTGTTCCTTTTGGGGAAAAAAACCTACACAATTCACCTCCCTAAGGAAAAAAAAAATACACTCAAAACAAAAACAAAATCCGTACATACTAAAATATTTTTCACTATCTCTTTGAAGAACATTCTGCTTAAATCTCCCAAAGGTTCAGGTGAACATTTCTTGACTGTCCATGATTAAAACCACTTAAAAGTTATAGACAACAGATGCAATTATAATGTCCTATGCCTCTGCAAAGAATTAACAGTGTGCGAATTTGTGCTCCCAACATCTGAAAAAACAAAACAAAACAAAACTTCATAATATGGAGCCTCTAGCCAAGGCACAAGGAATTTGTTGAAAATGCACACAAACAACCCTTAAAACGACAAACAAGACAGACTGAGGTGTTCACACAGTATTTAAGTTTCCAAATGTGTAGGGCAAAATGACCAAAAAATATTAGAAATGGTCACTGTGGTGAGCTGGCTTTTGTTGTTGTTGTTCTACAGTGACAGAGGTACGGTAAAAAAAAAAAAAAAAAAAAAAAAAAAGTTTGTAGACACTGATACAGAGAGATTGCCCTAAAAAATCCCCAAATCCAGCTTTCAAAATACCCTCCTGCTGAACACACATGAATAGGAGCTTTTGTGTATAAAAATCTCAGTAATGGTCCCCCTTCTAAAATCTACATAGAAAATGGGGGACTGTTGGCCCCCTGGTTTCTCATTATGAATTGTAAAGACTTTAGTCAGTGGCTACAATGATTCATCATTTTCCATATAGAGGTTTTTAAATGTGTATATTTATTTTAATCACACTGAACGACTATCTCTCCTTTAAATGGATGTTTAGAGCCTGTAGACTCTGCGTGACCCAGGGGTGCTTATATAACTCAATGTGGGTGTCTGGGTGTAAATACGTGTTTATGATTTTTTATAATATATATGTCTGTGGGTTGCATCTAACTCCTGTGCGTGTAATAATGTTTTTCTCTCTGCTGAGGCTTACTTCTCCAGCCTATTGTTTGAGACAACAGATATAAGTTGCGATGGGAGAGGAGCGTCGGATTTGGTGTGTATCCCCCATTTCCAATTATAGATGGATCATTACAGACAGCGGAGTCCTGAGAAGCCAGACATCTGCTCCTCACATGAATGCACTCACCTCCTAGAGACCAGGCTGCCATCATGCTCTGGAAGCTCGTGGAGAATGTCAAGTACGAAGATATCTATGAGGTGAGCCGACACCCCCAGATGCATCTTAGAGCTTTGGAGATAGAGAATTTGAGCTTCTTGACACCCCAACTGATATATATTTTTCAACTATTTAGTCGTAGATTTCCGGCCGGTTTTCTCAGCTTTCTCTAACTTTTAGAAAAGCTGGCTGGGGGGAGACTTCGCGATTCGGAAAAAGAACTTTAAGGTTGAAATCTGGCTACTCTAAGTTAGGAGATTTTTTTCTCTCTTTCTCTCTTTTTCTTTCATTTTTCTTTCTCTCTTCCTCGCCCCCCCCCTTAAGGTTCTGATGGGAAATGTGGTGCTACTGAATGTGGGCAGAAAAAAATAGAGACTGATAAAGGCAGAGGCTCTCCTCGTTTTGAGTATGGGAGAGAATTAGATTTTCAAGTCTCATTCGTAACAGACTCAGGCTTTTAATTTTTATTTTCAATAATATTTCTGAAATCAATAACAAACGGATCCAAGTAGAGGACGGAAAATTAGGAGGAGGGAAGCAGATAGAGGGCTAGATGGGTGTAGATACAGCACAAGCCAAGGAGCCCTGGCAGATCTTTTTTTTTTTTTTTTTCTTTTTCTTGTGTTTTGCTTTTTTGAGAGTCAGTGCGTCCAACCACCCCATGTTTGGGCATTTTTAACTCAATGTTCTGCCCTTGTTCAGTGCGCACTGCTCTCCAACGCTGGGGTTAGCGCAACTCTTCCTCGGGCTGGAGAAGTTGCCCGCCGCCCGGCGGGGCCGTGGCCGCGCTCGCCGCTGCCCTCAGCGGTCTGGGGCGCCGACTGATGCGGCGGCGGGGCGGCTCCGGGGCTCGCGGGCGAGGCGGGCGTCCGGGCGGGGCACGCGGCGGGACGGGGAGGGGACGGCGGCGGAGGCCCGCGGAACTTCGCTCGGAGCGGAATGGCCTCGCAGACTCGGACTTAGGTGCCAGGGGAAGAGGGAAGCGAAGGCTGGAGGAGACGTCGAGGGAGGGAGGAAAGAAAAGCTTCGAGGAAAGGCGCAGCAGAGTTAAGGCGGGGGAAGGTCGAAGCTGGCGAGCCGGGCGACGGAGACTGTAAAGCGGAAAAGTTGGAGAGAGGAGGGAGGACGGGAAGCAAAGTCCCGGGCGAGTAGCGCTCGATCGGTCGTACCAAATGGTCGCGGTGGGACGCCCAGAGCCTCCCCCAAACCAGTGGGGGGAGAAAATGCGACCCCTCCGCTCCGGGACGACTCCGGAAAGCTCGGCAGGAAGCCGCCTTGCGGATGATGGGCCGCGCACTGAAGCGGTCGATAAGCCCCGACTGACGCCGCCGGCCCAGGCTTACGGGGCGGACGGGGGCTCCGAGGCCCCGCCGCAGCCTGCCCGCCGCGTCCCGCAGGCAGCTCACTGTCCCCAGCTCCCGCCAGCCCGGAATACTAGTTTTAGTGTGTGTGTGTGTGTGTGTGTGTGTGTGTGTGTGTGTGTGTGTGTGTGTGTGTGTGTAAGAGACAGAGGCACAGAGACGGAGAGAGAAAGAGAGATTGAGGAGATTCGTCTTTCTGCGGAATGATGATTAGGGTTTTCCTTTCCTCTTTGTGGCGTGTATTGACTGTAACGAAGAGCCGCGCCTCCGCCTGGTGCGTTTTGTTTCGGTTCGGCCTCCTTTTCTTTCTTTAACACGCGGGATAATGGTAAAGTCGAAGTCGCTAGAACTATCCTAAAGAATGTGAGCGCCCGAGGTGGCATGAGAACGGGTGGAGACGGGGGCACGGTGTGTAAATAGCTCGGAATATACATGGAGGGATTTCAGTGGGTTCCCAAAAGTAAGCAGGATAAAACTTGTTCTTTGCTTATGAAAAGTAAACTGGCTAAATGGTAAAGGAGGGAGGGAGACCAGAAAGGACGGAGGGAGAGAGGAAAAGGGAGGGGTGGAGTGGAAGAGGGGGCAGAGAGAGGAGAATAAAAAGGGAGGGAGGGGGGAAGAGAGGGAGAGAAGACAGGGGGGGGGGGGGGGGGGGGGGGGAGGAGAGAGAATATTGCAGGTATCCCTATTAGCCTAAAATTTCTGCTCAAAAATATAGGAGAACCTGCAACCCTGTGGAAGGAACCTTTTCAAGTCGGGAAGAAGGTTGAACTTTAACAGAAATGGCAGTCAGGCCAGTTGAACGGGTTCCTGAAACAACCAAAAAGGTTTTCTGTTGCCCCTGGCTTTGCCTTTTGGAAAGGAGAAGTTTAGTGTACTTGAAGATTGATTGCATATATTTTAAATTGAGGTAAAAATCACGGATTGTATGAGCAGTATAAGGAGGGAAAGGCTACACAAGGGATGAAAAGCCCCCATCTTGCCCCTGGCCTTTAATAAGTAAGCATAATTTCCAGCATTCGGTGCAAGTCTCTAAACGTCACTGTAAACAACCAGGCCCACCGGTTTACTTTTCTCTCCCCTCCAAATGATGAGGCAACGCCTTTTTATTTTGTTTTTTAATCTGCACACAAAGCACCTAGGGCAACCAGTTCTTCCCATTAGGAAAGTCCCTCTCTAGGAACAAGGACACCTACGTTCTGTACAAGCCCCCAGCGATGCTCTCCCTCACTGCCTTGTCCAAAGGAGCAGGGGCTGCCTTACGCCTGTCCCCGGCTCAGTTAATTGAAGTTCTGCCTCTTTCCTGCTAAACTTTTTCCCCAGTCTGCCTTTGCCAGCCCCCTCGTCTGATTACATCTAGTAATTCTCCACTGAATGAACGTCATTTACAATAGTAGGGGAGCTCTGCGCTCGCTGCTGCTTCACGCTCCATTTGTCCTCCATTCTCCCTTTAAAGTACTCGTGTAATATTAATAGTCATGAATATCAATTATTATGAGGCGGTGTAGGCAAGCGGAGGGAGGAAGGGGCGCCCGAGCAGTCTGAGCCCAGCTTCGGGTGGAAGAGGACTGCATCTGGAGCCCCGAAGAGCGGCAGAAGAAAAGAGGCCAAAAAGACAGCAAGAGACCGATGAACAGCTCTGTCTGTGTGTGACAGGCATCGCCAATCTTGTTTGGGGGTGGAGGGGATTTTTTTTTTTTTTTTTGATGGCTTGTCCTGGAAACCCCTCAAGCTTGGCTCCTGTGTCCAGCTCGTTTCTCTGCTGGACTCCTTGATTTTTTTTTTTTTAATCATTGTTTGATTTTGAGCAGTAACCAGGCTTTTTTTTCCAGATGTTAGTCCACACCTATTCATCCATGGTGAGTTTGGATTCACGTTGTACCAGAATTGCATGCTCCTTCCGCTCACTGTCTCTCTGTCTCTCCGTCTCTGTGTGTGTGCCTCACTCTCTCTGTCTCTGTCTTCCTTTGAGCGCCTTTGGCTTGGTAATTTAGCACCGTAATTGGACGAGGCTGCAGCTGCTTCTCTCTGCATTGTGTGCTCTCCGTCTGAGCTCCCTGAGTCAGCTGGGGAGGGGGGAGGCCGCAGAGAAAAACTTTTTATTTGCCATTGCAGTTTGGAAATTTAGGTGACTATTTCTCCAAAAAGAACCAGAGGGACTTTACCAAGGCATTTCCACAGAGGAGAGGGAGAAACTTAAACACTCCTCTCACACACACAGCTCCCCCTTCTCCTTCCACTTAGTTTGCCACTCCAGATAGAACCAACAGTAAGTTGTCTGGGCCTTTTCTAGTTTTTCCCTCCCAACCCCAGGTCCTTCATTTTCACACCCTGGAGTATAATAGCATTAGATACAGAAAAGCAACCTTAGAAACAACTCCTCAGAACCACCATTCAACTTAATTTAACGTGAGTTCAGGGTATGATTTCAAATGAGATCCATTTCAACCAAACACTATTTAAATTATTTAATTCCTCTTGGGGAGGGAGGGGTGACTGGGAACTCAGATCAGGCAGATTCCTCAGAGCTCCTGGAATTACCAGGTTTGTGTGGGGAGCTCTTGGTCAGCTGGCTGGGTTGCCACTGAAGGCCGAAGTTGGTTTTGAACAGGAGCAGCACAGCAAAAAGTATGACGTTTAATTTGTTATGCTTTGGACCTCTGAAAGAGTTAGGAAAAATAGTTTAAAATACCCAGAAGAGGAAATACTCGTGTAAGGCTCCTATATTTTTAACCAAGAAATTTAGAATCTCTCCCCATACATAGTTACTTTACCCTCACCCCTTTTGCCCGCTTTGCACTCCCAACACAAGGCTCAGATATTGGTTAAGTGGGTGGTGATTCTCCCCATTTTTCCCCCAAAGCCTGGCGTTTGGAATTGCTGAAATCATGTGCCCTCTGAGTCAACTTGGGAGTATAAGTTTCAGACTCTTGCTTCCCCTGTCCTGGGAAGAATATACGGAAGCCGGGCTTCTCCATTAGTCGCTTGTATTTTTTTTTTCTTTCTCTCTCTTGCTCTCTCTCTCGCTCTCGCTCTCTGTCTCTGTCACTCTGTTCCTCTCTCTCTCTCTCCTTCTCTCCGCTCCCAGGACCGGCACGATGGCGTCCCAAGCCACAGCTCCAGGCTCTCCCAGCTGGGCTCAGTATCCCAGGGACCTTACTCCAGCGCCCCGCCGCTGTCCCACACCCCGTCGTCAGACTTCCAGCCGCCCTACTTCCCGCCTCCCTACCAGCCGCTCCCCTACCATCAGAGCCAGGATCCCTACTCCCACGTCAACGACCCCTACTCCCTGAACCCACTGCACCAGCCCCAGCAGCATCCTTGGGGGCAACGGCAGCGGCAAGAAGTGGGTTCGGAAGCCGGCTCTCTCCTGCCCCAGCCTCGGGCAGCCTTGCCCCAGCTCTCGGGCCTCGACCCCCGGAGGGACTACCACTCGGTCCGCCGGCCAGACGTGCTGCTGCATTCGGCGCACCACGGCCTGGATGCGGGCATGGGTGACAGCCTCTCGCTGCACGGCCTCGGCCATCCCGGAATGGAAGACGTCCAGGTAACCACAAACAAACAAATGAAAAGGACAATAAATAAATAAATAAATAAATAAATAAATAGTGAATGCCCTGGGAGATGGGAGGGGTGGAGGAGGGGCAGCTCTGTATCCTTTGGGGGAGGTAGTTTCCATCTTTAGAACAGGAATAGCTGGACACCACATATATAACTGTTTCTGTGTTATACATGTATGGCTCTGTAGTGGTGATTTCTGGAGGTCCAATTATGAAAGCTGGAACCACTAGAAATGAAATCATGAAGGAGAAAAATATATGCGTGTGTTGATAGTTTAGCATCACCAGAATTAAGGCTAGATGTTTTTTGTCTTGCCTTAGCTACTCCCTGTTCTCCTGCACTTTGTTCTAGCGAGCTGGGTACCCTTCCCAACCCACTCCCCATGAGTGTCCCATAGTGGGCCTGGCCTCCTAACAAGACAGGTGAAAGACTGAGCTGCCTAGAGTCTGGAGCTTCAGCAGAGAGGCACAAGGTCCTCTTGGGCTCCAGAGGTTCCTGCTGGATGTTAAGCATGACAATGCACATGGGAAGAAAAACATGTGCTGTGATTGTCCAAACCAGGTCCTACTTTGAATGTTTCATAAGCTGCTGAGCCCTTTTTCAAGATAAGTTAGTTCCAGAGTCATCTCCTGAGAAATGGAATAATTGTGTGGAGAGACCCATAAAGCCATAATTCTGCTTGGGAGTCCAAGAGGACACATACCATTTTGGAGATTGTTTTCACCTTTTGATCCATTAAATGACTGTGGAACAATATTCTCCACATCCCTCCTCAGTTCTCCCCCTCCGTTAATACTCTCCTCTCCCCAAAGCCACTATCCCAGTTAAAGAGGCATCACGTGTTTGTTTCTTAAAACAAAAGGCTCAAAACACTCCCCCCACCCACTCCCTAACCCATCTGCAACCTACACAATGGAGCCTGATTTGGTTGAGAATACTTGGTTAAACTAAACAAAGAAACATCAAAGAAACGATTTCTAAAAACTGTCTGGGTGATTCTGAGCAGGTCTCCTTTTGCTCCCTAATTTAAATAGTCTGCAGAAAAGATAAATATGGTTGAAAGGTATTTGACACTTCGGTCTCATTGGCATAGTTGTGTATATTATGCATCATTTTAGACATACCTCTAAAGCAAAGAAAAAGGAAATGGGGAAGAAAAAAAGAGTACTTGAGTCCTTCTTTTTTACCTTACTTGAAAAAAAAAGTATTTTGAACCGTTAAAATGTGGTGACAGCATCAAATGCTGCCTGTGTGTAGTCTATGATGGCTTATTGTTTTAAAGGAAATTCAGTTATTTATTATTTCCAAAAATGATGAAATCACCTGATTTGTGGCTGGATTTACCTGTAGTAATAAGAATGATCGTTTTGTTGGCTTAATCAAGCTTGATTATCCCTGTCTGGAGGGATTGCTCGTTTCGGAATACCATACAAGAAGGAAATATTTAAGAGCTTTTTAAAAAAATGTATTGGGGTAATGTGTGTGTTGGGGGGCGTAAGTTCTGAAATTAACCTTTCTGAGTACGCTCAAAGTGCTAGATAATGAAAGTGGATCAACTCATCACCACTGCTGTTGGCAATGCCAACACATTGGCGGCGTCATCATCACCCTGCAGGCCGAGTGACTCAGTCAACTGAACCCAGGAATTCTCTCAAAAGAGGGAATAGATTTCTTTGGTTTCAGTTTAGTTTAGTTTTTAAAGATATAACTGTGAGGGGTTTTGAGTGTTTGGCCAAATGCAAAGGACGAGAGAACAGGACCAGTTCAGTGTGCATTGGGGAGAACAGCCTCGTCAAAGCGTCGCGCGGCTGGCTGAGTTGTTGCGTCGGAACGCGGACCGCGAGGTGCAAAGAGCCCAGAGGAGAGAAGGTGCAGGCCCCGGCCCACGCATGCTCCCCACCCACACACCTCTGCCCTGTTCCTCCCCCCAGAAGCTTCTCAGCCGCTCCTCTGGCAAGGTGGGGTGGCTTGCGGGACTTTATCTGGACGACCCTCAGTGCAGGGGGTTGGGGGGAGACACCCTCCTCCCACCTATCCCAGGCAGCGGGGACGATCTCTGTTTCAGTGGCGATGACAGGCCTCCCAGGCCTGGGTGTGCTTGACGCGACACGGGGCAGGTGACAAAGAAAGACAGGGGAGGAGATGTACCTAGGACCACAGCCCCGAATGCAGAGGCTGTGCCTCCTCTGCTCCATCCCGGAGGATCCACTTCCGAATTAGGGATCTGGAGCGTAAGAGGCGAGGTGAGAGGGGGAGCTGAAGTTACGAGCCTGTCGGGATCTCGCCGTTACTTACAGCTACGGATTGGGTTGGCTGCGCCCGAACAGTCTTTGAGAAGGGACCAGAGAGTGCCTCGGCCTGGACCTCGGTCACTTGTTCCATCTCAAGAACCTATTATGTGTTCCGGATTCCTCCCCCCTCCTTCCAGCGGCGTACCAGACAGATCCCCAGGGCGCTGCTGGGCCGGTGGTCCTCTTAGCAAGGGGTATCACCTGGCCGAGGGTTGGTATGGGGCTATGTTGGGTGACCCAGACACACACGCGGAGGTCCACCGTCCCGACCGTGAGAGAAGAGGAGGAGAGGAGCTAATTAACCAAATGCTTCTAATATTTTTTTAAATGAAACTATAAAACCCTGTCAATTTCTATTTCAATTTACTCACAGGGGCTATTAAACTAGCAAATCGCTGTTTGGGTTCTGGGTATGCTACATTTCATGCATTGTGTGTATGTGTGTTGGGGGAATGCAGTGTTAAAAACTCAAAAAAACAGCATCAGAACGGAGTGAGATGACACCTAGCTTGGAGTTTAGCTGTCATGAACACCTCTTCTTACAATCTTTGCTCTCTAAACTCTCTCACCTCTACTACCCCTGAGTATAAACATATCAGGATGTTGTCAAATCCACCACACACACACACACACACACACACACACACACACACACACACTCAAACACACCCTAGTGTCTTAAAGCAACCCCTGGTATCACTTTTAACTAAAGAAGTCTAGTAATTACGAGTCTGAGTTGTTTTTCTGCGCTTCCGCATGCAGTCCTAATTAAATCTTTACGATCCTCCCTGTGACGATTAAGCGCCAGCATGCTGCGTGAATATCCTGTACAAAAACCCAGCAGGCGGCCGTAATTAGATAGAAAATCAGACAAGAGCCTTCTCATTAACTACCACAACTACCCCCACGTCGCTGATGAGGCGTATATACATATTTACGTATCGACGTGAGGGTGAGGTGTGGGGGCGCCCGGGCCCTGGCCCCTGAGATCCCGGGCCTGCCCGCCCACAGACACAGGCGATTATTTTTGTCTTGAGTGGACACCTCGCATTGTAGACACGTGAGCATAGCAAGGCGTGAATTGTGTGTGTGTGTGCGCGCGCGCGCGCGTGTGTGCGTGGTGAGGTCTCCTGAGGAGTTTCGAACAAGTTATATGAAGTCTTTTTTAAAGAAGCTTTTACTATTTCTTAATATGTACATGGCATGTTGCAACATGGAAAACGGTTCTTACGGAGAATAACAATTTTCCTCACCTTTCCGACAACTGAAGAGTGACTATTAAAAACGAAAAGAAACAAATTAACATGCTCCCTTCGTGATTAGATCATCTCATTTCTAATGCTGCTTGTTTGGGGTAGACAGTCTCTTCCTTGTGATGAACACACGCCCTGTCTGGGGATGCATTGTGAGTGGGTGGAAGGTGCTGTGAAAACACAGCCTCACTCTCAAGCCCTTTGCTCTTTACTTCTCTGTAGAGTGGGTGACAAATTGGTCAAACTTGGGTTTCTAAGAATCAGGGAAAGCAGCAGGACATTTCAGAAAGACCTAGCATTTATTTTTCATTGGGGGGGGTGGAGGAGGGAATACAATGCTTTTGGATGCTCTGGGACGCACCGCCAAAACTCTGTTCTTGGTGCATCCTGACAGTAAGAAACTCATCTTGACAGCTCTTTCCCCTCAGAAGTGCTGCCAACACCCAGGGTTGAAACTTTCCTTCTTTAGGATAAGACTGTGGCACAGAAGATGAATGCTCTTTGCCATTACCTAGGTGCTGACTGGGAGGATCTGAGTCTTTGTATCTGTGTGTCTGTAGTTATTACTGCCATCCTAACAGGTGCGCTTCTTGCTGGGAAGTAGCAGCAGCAGGATAGGGAGGGGGGTAAACTGTGCAGGTTCCTCTCAGGGATTATCACACAGCAAGAAATTCATAGCACACAAGGACGTGTATGGACTGCATGGGCGTGCGGTCCTGCCAGCTTGCAAACGTGTTCCTATGTGTTGCTGTTTGCATTCCATTCCAAATTGCTCAGACTTTAATTAAAATCCCATAATGTAAACTATTATGTATTTGTAAAATGACTCTAGGGTTAAGATGCGCTGGGATAAAATTGAAAACAGAAATTATTCTTACTAATATTGGTGAAAATCTTTCAGCTATTGCCAAATTTTCACAGTTCATAAGAGCAAATAATATAAAACTTTATGTCTGTGTAACATCTATGTTTAATATAATAACTAAAGCAATACTGCATCCCAGATGTCTCTCACAGTTTCCTTTTTCCTCTGCTTCCATTGGAAGAATTTATAATTTCAGTGAATTTCATTTCTATGTTGATTTGGAGGTAATAATGATAATAATAAAACCTCCCTTTGTGAATTAATATAAATGGAAATAACAGAAACTCCAGTTTGGAATGACATGATTTATGTGTGCAATTCTTTAATATCCAGTCAATTTGAATAGTGATGTTTTTATATTCACAGTCAGTTGAAGATGCCAATAACAGCGGCATGAATCTATTGGACCAGTCTGTCATAAAAAAAGGTATGGATTATTCCTCCCAAAAGTAAGCAAAGTTTTCCTGTGCAGTCATGTCTTTATGAGTTTTCACTTTGGGGGAATTAGTTATTCTATAAGACAGAAATGTTTGTTCACAATCATAGGACAGGGGCTGTCTAGATGAAAAAGGCATGTCGGGAAGAAGGAAATTTGGGGGTGGGGGCAACCAAAGGCAGAAACCCAGATAAGAGACAGAGGGACAGAGACTATTGACATTTTTCTCATGTGCATTTGGTAGCAATTCTAGATATACCTTAAATAACTGAACTACTATCATGTATGAAACTGACTAGGAAACACTGCTTTCAAAAACGTGCTATAATTATTTCATTGGTAACTGGAGTTTGCTGAGCTAAACCCTATGTTTTTGAGATAGTTCCTCTTCTTGTTTTTGCATTTGATTTGTGTGTGTGTGTGTGTGTGTGTGTGTGTGTGTGTGTGGTAATTCTGTTTCCAGTTCTCTATATTTTATGAGTTGTTTCTAATTATTTTTTAAAAAATTGTGCCAAATTTGTTGCTAAATATGCACATCCTAAGAAGTTGAGACAGCCTATGCACATTTCTAAATCTTTCTACATATGCATTCATGATTTAGTGTGACTGTGGAATCACCCCATACTGTTAAAGGGCATGTGATATTAACAAATGTTTGCAGTCTCTTGTACAGCTGTAAGCAAAATAATTAACTAATTAAACTAATTAAATGTAATTACAATAACTCATTTCGGGCGTATTGCAGCTGCTTAATTTTTTCCCCCTCTCTTCTGACAGTCACTGAGAGAATGCCTAGCGATTAGTGTGGCTGCCGAAAGGCCCGAATGTCACTCACATGCCACCAATTTAGGAGCTTGAATGTGTAAACAGTGCAATCTTTAATTATCGCAAGAACTGGTATTTGGAGATACAATTTTAACTACTGTAACCCTTTCTTATCGATTCTGGAAAAGGCCCGTCCTTATATCTGGTGTCAACAACCCCTAGCTTCAGTCATTTATGATTAATTTGAGCCACATGACACTCAAAAACAATTAAGGAAAAAGCACTTTGGAAAGTAACGCAAAGTCAAGCCGTTACAGTAGGAGGGTCGTGAAATCAGAATTCCAAACAGGGTGAGGTATTCTAAATTATCTTCTTTTACAGAGACAGAAAAAGTGGCTTTAAGAGGTGGAGGATGGGAGGAGGGGAGCTGTACTTGGAATAATGCCATTTGGCTTTGGAATGTAATATCCTGAAGAATAGTAAGATTTGGGGCAAAACTCTTTATTCTAAGTGTTGCTCCAAACATCCCTCCCTCTATTCTTTAGATAGTATCATTTCAGTTCTTAATGCTAGCTTTTGGGTTTGCTCGGACACCCAGGCTTGGTGCTTAGATTTGCAACTGTCCTGACAGCTCACTTTCAGCATTTCCTCTGGGGTCTTCTCTTTTGGTTAATTGCTGGTCGCTGGGGGTGAGTAGGGGAGGGTGGGGAGGCACTCCTCCATTGGCTTTTTTGTTTCAGCTCCTCCTCCCCTTTCAGGGAAGACTAGAACCCCTTATCTCAGGGCTCTGTATCCTAGAAACAACATTTGGGCTGTCAGTGGGGCAGGCCCGACAGATGACCAATCAGAAATATTATTAATAGGTAGGCCAATAAAAATATTTGGAACTTAGCTTGCTTAACAAAGCGGAGCTGAAAATATTCTTAGTTGTGGGATGCTTTGGTTTCAGGGCTTGTATATGTTCGTCAGCAAAATGTGATTATCTATGTAGAAGGGTATCTCCAGTAATAAGAAAAGGAGAATACGGACTAAAGTTGCTGGTTCTGTTTTGAAAACACGGAGTACTTTTTCTGGCTCTGAAAGCCTTTTATTAAAATTGTGCAGCTTTAAATAACTAAGTGGCACCCCAGTCACTTTATTGATTTAGGGGATAAGGTATGAATATGAAGTTTTAGGTTAACTCCATTATTTAGTATTTTAGGTATTTGCTTTATTACATGAAGAAAAGATCCTAATATATGTTTATCTTTAGAGAGTCATGGGCAAAACAGGAATAAGTGGTTGATTTACTGCTCTAGATAACGATGAACCACTTAAGGCTAGGGATTCACTTGCTCCTTCCTGGCCCTCTTTGTCCCCTCCCCTCCCCTTATAAGGGATATCTCCCAGAGATTAATTTCCTAAAAAAGGAGGTGAGAAAGTTTCTGAACTAAATTTTCTAAATTTCGGGTGCCTGGGTGGCTCAGTTGGTTAAGCGACTGCCTTCGGCTCAGGTCATGATCCTGGAGTCCCGGGGTCGAGTCCCACACCAGGCTCCCTGCTCGGCGGGGAGTCTGCTTCTCCCTCTGACCCTCTTCCCTCTCGTGCTCTCTCTCTCTCATTCTCTGTCTCTCAAATAAATAAATAAAAATCTTAAAAATAAATAAATAAATTTTCTAAATTTCAACAACTGGCAAGGAACTTGGTTGCTTAATTTATTTTCTAATGGGCTTTTAGAAAGATTTTTATAATTTTTATTTTTTGCAGAAAGATTTAAAAAGTCTACCTCATTAATAACAAATTGTAGCCACTGATCCAGGTTCGCATGTCTCTGCCATTACGTATACTGAAGCCAGAAGACTTGGGCATAAAAGATATATGTCTCTATGTCTCTCACTCTAATTATGGAAGGACTCTCTCCTAAAATTTAACCAGTCCAATTTTTCACCCGTGTTGATATCACCCCATAGATTATAGGCTAGCTCTCTTGTTATGTTTGCTATCTGGGCTTAGCTGACATTTCTGAAGTAATTTAGTTAAGAGGAAATGAGTTGTTCCCAGTAGAGAGAGCAAACGAGTGGAGTGAAGGTAGCCAGCGTGATAAATGGCTCTTTCATTTGAAGATCTCCAGAGCTCGTTTACGGCTAATTTTCTGTATTGGCCCCCTTTGAGCTATTAATGCAATCGGCAGGGACCGTGGCCCCTCTCCTCTTAGCTGCCCCATTAGAGCTCCCATTAAGATGCCGAGTCTCAACTCCAAGGCAGGAGTGGAGGGAGTAATGAAAGGTGCTTTTTAAACTCTCCTAATCTAAACCGGCAGAGGGTGGTTAATACGATTTGAAGGGGGCTGGTCAATGAGCAATCAATAAAGTAATAATGAGAAGGATTCGGTACATTAACAGTCTAAAAATCCAACGAGACATTAAAAAATCATTCTTAACTCTCAGTTCCATTAAGATTAGGAATCTGGGCTGGGGAGGGGGTGGGTTGGTGCCCAACTAATATAAATGATCACTGCCAACATCCTATAGCCTGACTAAAAGAAGGCTTTAAGAAAAAATTTTTGGTGCAATCAGAGGCTAATATGCAATCGGTCTGACACCTTAGAGAGCAGAAAATATGCTGGGATTTCTTGGAAAGGCTAGCGTGGCTGGAGTCCAAGGTTCAAATGTGACTGTGGGGCATTTTCATTGGTCTTAGGGATATCCTGTTTGGTTAGTTTCAGTTCAACCTCAGTTCTCTCCCACTTTTTTTTCCCGTTAGTTCTGGCCCCTTCCCCATATAAACACTTTGATTAGTGTGGATTTTCTTTGGGGCGGGGGGGGGGGGGTTTTAAGGAAATTGCCAATTTAATTACAATGTTGGGATTCTTCCTTCTGACCTAGAAGGTAAAAAGCACCAAGAGTATGTCAGAGCCTCTGAAAGGGTATGAATTTCCCCTCAAAAGAAGAGGTTCACATTTCCAGGGCTGACTTGGATCCCAACAGGTATTAATTCAACTTGAGACTCTGAGATACATTCCAGCCACCCAGGGAGTAATCAGAGTTCACAGAATTTCAAAGTTGGAAAGGTTAGGCACTTTTGTCCAACTTCCACCCCCACTCCCAGTGAAAAAATTGAGACAGAGAGAAGATAAATGACTTTCTCAAGGTCCTACACACACAGTAAGTGATGGGACCCAATTCAGTTTCCAGACTCTTAGACTTTGCCCCTAAAGGATACTAACCCTGGATGTTTGTAGTTCTTTATATTCTCTGGAATATATTCTTTGTGAGATACCTTTTATTTTTCTTTCCAGGATTTTGGTCCTCACATTAATAGATGTGCTATATATCCATGTGAAATATTTAGCCCTCAGGTAGATGAGAAACAATGCAAGTATAAAGGAAGGGGGTGCTCTGCTGGTGAGAAGTAGTTATTTCAAGCACTGTTCAACCTCTTGGTGGCTTCCTGGTGTAGCTTACATATTTAAGTCTGAGTATCTTCCAGAGGGACTTACCCTTGACTCTATTAAATGGGTTCATTTCTTCCCTCCTTCCCCACCAGCAGATCAGAGCCACAGAGGGTCTGTTTGCAGTCAAACACAAAGATAGCAAGGCTCTGATTTTATACTCAAGTTTAAAGAATACAGATTAAGAGCTAGTCTATTAACACATTGGCTCTGTGTAGTCCACTAATGAATAATAATTTCCCTAATCAGTCTTTCTTCCTCTCTCTTAAATAAAACTCCAGTCACTGTAATGAAATATTGGTCGGTTTCAACCCTTTTTTTCTTCTCCCCGATATAATGCAAGAAAAAAAAGGGGAGCAAGTTTTGTGGATGTTACATCCAGAAGTTGGTCATGATATGCAACAGAGAACCGAATAGGGGAAAAAAAAAAAAACCGGCTTTAATGTATGCACAGAAAATTGTAAACATGTAAAGAACTGAAAGCTTCACGCTGAGTTTTGCTATGCTCCATTTCCTTACCATTTCCTGCTGTCGCTTTAAACCTATCTTAGTCATCTCTGGGTTCCAAGAGCAGGAACAGTGTGCTCATAATTACTAACAAATCAACCGGGCCCTGTTGCTCTCTGGGTTTATTGATAAGCTGGAGGAAAGCAGAAGGGAAAAGACAAAGAGAATAAAATATGGGGTTAATCAGCTGAGCTAAGCAGGTGTGAGAGTGAAGGGGAAGGTAAATAACAGTGCGAGGGATTTTAAGGAAAGTTAGGACAAGAAATGGGTAGGGTCTAGTCCTAAGATACCAGGTCTAAGGCCAGAGTAGGAGAGGGTTAGAACCTGAAGATGAGAGAGTAGATGGTAGGAACACAATTCATACTTAAATTAAGAAAATGGAAATATAACCTGAAGCATGTCTGCTCAAATAGTTTGCATCTTTGTGGGGAAAACAACAACAAAAGAAGACAGCAGTGTGCTGACAGAAGCTAACCGGATTGGTGATATTCAGGTGATAATGCATTTGCGGAAAGGTACAGCCCAGGGAGGGAACAATATACATTCCCCATAGGAAATGGCTCTTGTCAGGTAAATCAAGCAATTAACAATAGTGAAATTAGACGGCAGGTTATAAAGTGTCTCTAAAGGCCTGGCTTTTCAAGAGATTTGGCAACTGGGACTCTGAGAAGCAGATAAATTACAATCCTAAGGAGGTATTTGGTTGTCTGATATGGGAAATAGGAACTGAACTTAGTATTTTCAGCTTAGTGAGGTTTTTTATTGTTAAAATATTCTTTCTCAAGAATATTTAATAGTATAAAATATAAAATATTAAATATAAAAACATTGCTGAGTGTCGAAGATGAGATTTTTGTGCAATTTATTTCTATAGTTCTTCCCATGTTAAAATTACAAAAGGCCATCATCTATATTTTGGGGGAAAGTTTCTCCAAGGTTATCTGATGCTGATTCCCATGATCATAAATTATTTGCTTAGAGTTCTTGAATATGAATCTGAAATATGAAAATTGAGAGTATTGCAAAGAATAAGACAGATCAAAATAGATGTGGATGTTGTGTAAGAGAATTAAATGACAGGGTGTTCCCACCCAAATCACTGTCTTTTAAATAACTTTAACTCCATATTTTACTCAAATTTAATTAATACTCACACTTGGACTTTTCATTGGTTCACTCTCAAATGGGAAGCAGCTTCACTGATAATATGATGAGGGGAATCAGAAAGAAGACAGCACCTTCTGTAGCTCCCCACCACCCCCATAGCGGTGCAGAAGATCCATTCTGTTACCTAACATCATTCACCTGCCCTGAGACAAGGCTTTGGACTCTGTAGACGGATCCAGAAATACTAAAATGTCTACTAAGGAGTAGCAAAAGGAACTGCTCCAGGACCCCCATCCATTCTCCTAGGAAAATCCTTTTCCACAAGGTGTTTGTAAGGGCCAAATGCAATTCCTACAGTAAGAAATTTGGGACCTACCTGGGTTTCAGCAGTCTCTAAACAATCATGGAGGTCTGAATGCCAGAATCCGTAGTGGAGAGAATAAGCTGTTACAAAAATACTCAGTGTTGATTGGTCTGTTCTATACAAGAGAGGTTATGCAACTTGTCTGACATATAAGTGTTCTAGGCTCTAGACGGTGGAAAGAGCATATCTTTCCCCTACCAGGATTATAGGATGAGACATTGTGTTTATTAAAGAACAGGAATGGAAACCTCCTTTTTCATGCCAGATGCATGTTTCCATAAATCCCCTGGACTGGTGATCAACAAATACCGTTGGAAGATTTGGGAGCTTCATATCGCACTGGAAGAAGCTAAGGTGTAAGGCAAGTCAGGAGAAGTCACCTGCCCTGTGGCTTCTAGAGCCTGCAGAAGTTCAGCAGTGTAGAACTCCAAGGGAGTAAGACTGCCAGCGAATTGGGAGGTTGACCATTCATTGTTCCTCATTCCCAGCCTTCTGGTTCCACTGAGCCCCGCCTCTTCCTGAGGTGCAGATGACACTGAAACACAATTAAACAGAAATACAGGCTGGTGAGACTGAATGCGCCTGGGTAGCAGTGGCAACCAGCTGTCAGCTCTTATTAACTTCTGCATAAAACATACCTTGAGTGCAGTTTGTTATCAATTACTTGCCGAAATGAAACAACTGGGGCAAGGCAAGACCTCCGCTCACATGAATTAGAGTGATTGGTTGATTGATCAGGGCACCTGTTGTAAATCATAACTGCTCCAAACAATCACCAGCCGGTGCTTTAATTTGTAAACAAAATTCATGTCACTGTGGAATTGCTTTCACTGGAGAGGAGCATTTGGGTTCATTTCTAAATGAATGTGTTGTTATGATGTAGGAAAGAATTGAGATCCACTTTAGAGAAATGAGCAGCTCTTTTGAGCCCAAGCTTAATGGTATTACTTGGCTGTTCTTGAGCACAGTGTCTCTGATAGGGCCCACTCTCCAGTGCTCTCCAGTGATGACCACAGATTTGGGTCCAGGAGGAAAGGAGGGAGGGGTTCCCATAAAGAACACTGGTATTACCGTTTTATATCTTTGATAGTATAATCACTCTCAGGCTTCAGCACCAAATGTGATTATTATCCTCAGGAGACGGATGAGGAATCTAAGATTCAGAGAGGCTCCCTGAGATGTCTCAGGTCACAAGCTAGCACACGATGGAATAGGATTTGCTAGGTTTCACAACACAATGCAAACTCTAGGCTGCGTGTTTTCTTGATTTGTATAGTGAGCGGGGCTGTGGCAAGCGACACTCATAGGGGTAAGTTTCCAGAGGAGTGATGGCTTTTCCATTTGTTTGTACACAGTGCTCTGAACGCACCGCAGCCCCAGTGGAACAAACACTTCCTCCTCCAGCTTTCCACTTGGCGCCTGTCCTGTGGCCTCGCCCCTGAGCACGCACCGACACATTCTATCAGCCGGTCACCAGGATCGAAACCCGGTCACCTTTATGGCATATTTTTTTTCTCTCTAGTTCCGGTTCCTCCCAAATCTGTGACTTCTCTGATGATGAATAAAGATGGCTTCCTGGGAGGCATGTCCGTCAACACCGGCGAGGTATTTTGCTCGGTCCCGGGCCGTTTGTCTCTGCTCAGTTCAACTTCAAAGTACAAAGTAACTGTGGGGGAAGTTCAGAGACGGCTTTCGCCCCCCGAATGCCTCAATGCGTCTCTCCTCGGCGGCGTCCTCAGAAGGTAAAAAACCCCCAAACCGGTTATTACGGGGTGAAGGAAGAGGGCTCTCCCGGAAACCTACAGATAGCCGGACGCAGTTGCCTAGCAACCGGGCGTCCAGAGCGCGGGCTCCCGCGCTGCGCGTGCGGAGAGCCGCGGCCGCCACGTGCTGGGGGCCGCGCGCGCAGACGCCGCCGCTCTGGGACCCACGCGCCGCAAGCACGCGCCGCCTCGCTCTCACGCTGTTGTCCGCGCTGGGAACCTCCCTCTCTCCCTGCTCAGTGCTTGGCTCCTTCCTGTCCCCGGGACACTTCGAGGGCATCCTCTAGCCTGAGTGAAACTCAGAACCTACACACACTTATCTAAAACAGACGTTTCATGGAGTAGCCTGCTTTGTGCCAGTAACGTACTGTAATATTTCTCTGTTTTGTTTTAAAATATGCTTGGCGGACGACTAAATTGGTCACTACCTATCAAGGCATTGTGCCCTGCAGGTTGAAAAAAATGCCGTGCTTGACTTGCGACCTCCTGTCTTCAGTAAGAACACCACCAATAATAACAATGGAATAGTAATGGTTATTTCTTGGGGGCATTCAAGTGCTCCATAATATGGGGAGGAGACATTCCATAGACTTCCTTGTGGAAAATGGGGGAAGAGATGGCTTTTATCTTCAGCCTTCACCCAGAATCTCTGCCAATGCCCGGACAAAGGACACTTTGGTAGTGTCTCTGATAGGAAGGTGACACTGTAGGAGATGAATTTTTCAAGTTAGCCTCTTTGAGGAGTTGAAAGTCCCTTTCTTTCCTAAAAGTGGCTGTGTGAACAGTACCACAAGAGAGGTCAGAGTAACTGTTTTGTTTTTTTTTTTCTTGTATGTTTGCCCAGAATTTAGCACATACAGGGAAAGTCTGGGGAGGAAGTAAGGGTGTGACTCACGGATTTTTCTCACTTTGAATCCTCTTGCTCTGCTCTCCTGAAGTGAGTCCTTTGAGCCCCGGAGTGTGGAAGTTTCTTTCAATCACCCCTGGGCATTGAGCGTGTGTGTATAAAACTTGCTATGAGATTTAGTGAGATAATCAATATACAGTGCTTATCGCATAACTAAACTCCCTAAAGTGTTAGTTTAACTGTTATTGCGATTACCATCATCATGCTGGTTTCATGTTTCAGTCTTCCTTCCCCTTTTAACCCAACTCCATTTTATAGTGACTCTTGACCCCTTCCTTCCTCGAAAACCCCACCTGTTTCAGCTAGTTAGTGCCTCCTCTCTGAACCACCCAGTTCTTTCCCTCTTTTCAGCAAGGTTGTGCTTGCCCAGTTTCTGTTCACCTAACTGGCTCCATTATAAGGAAAGAGCTTGTGTGTTGCATGTGCAACTTCTACCTTTTCTAGACCCACAACCTACACCCTAATTATTCCCATCTGGTATCACATTTTTTTCTCACAAGATTAAAAAAAAGACTCATTTTTTTTTTATGCTCTGTATTGCAGAAATTAAGCAAACCTCAGCAAACTATCAGCAAATAACCAAAAGGAAGGGGGGAAAATGTGCTAACCTCAAGTTAAAACCTCTTCAAGCTCCACTGGGCTTTAGATTGCTAAGTCTAAACTTTGTTTCAGGAACACTCTGAGGTTAATCAGAATGTTAATTCTTGCAATTTCAGAGCCAAATCGAAAAATGGGGGGAGATCTTTGCGAGAAAGGCTAGAAAAAATCGGTTTGAATTTACCCGCGGGCAGGCGCAAAGCTGCAAATGTCACGTTACTCACCTCCCTGGTGGAAGGTAAGCAAGACGTGTGGCCATTTCATGAAGTTTAACTGTTGGCTGAAGGCTGACATTTTACACGTTTCGTGATTAACTGGAAATCACTGCGATTGTTGTGCCCTTATGAGTTGGATGTCAAGCGGCTGCCTGAGAGAAGTTCAAAGGTCCTTTTACTTAGAGGGAGCTGGCAATTGTAGAGAGGCCAAGGGACGTGTGCGAGGGTCCCTAAGCTCTGAAGAGTGCTCAGGTCCAGACTTCTAAGCCAGTGCAGGGGTCACTTCTGCCACCAGATGCAGGACAGAGTGCATGAAACACCCTCTGTTTGAACTCTTGCAAGAGTAACTCCGGAAGCAGCAATCCATTCTATACCCCTCTCCTTCCCAGGTTCTACCTCTGAATCGTCAGTAGTAGCAAACACATTGTCAGTTTATGAAACTATTATTGCATTCATGACCCCTGTGGTTATTTTAAAACTCATGCCACTCCCAGGGTCCTATCTCCTGCTGGTTACCTGGGACTTATTATGAATGAAATATGGCTTAGTGAAGCCAGTGAGGCCTAGGAGAAAACGGAGTCAAGGGTGGGGTGAGGAAACAAGGAGGGGAGTCACGTATGATCTTCAGTGTAGATCCATCAATTGTGAATTAAAGGCCCATAATTATAACAAGCACATTCTAATTTACTCATCATTTTGGGGTTGGGGGATGATGCTATTTATGGTATGTAATAAACAGGATCTTCTACACAGTTGAGAACAAGAGGATCTGCAGTTAATTTGCGGGATGGGGAAGGGGTAGGAAATATAGCCAGATGGTCCTAATGAAGGAAGTTGTAGAATTTTCTCTAGAGTCTAACATGTTGGTCTTGGTTTTTTCTTTTATTTTTATGGATGTGATATTTTGACACTCCTGTGGGGAATTGGTGTTTGGAGATCTTAGAATATGCAAGGAGCAACCATAAAGTCATCACATTTATGGGCTTTGCACTTTGCCATCTTCAAGGCAAAGTTGCCTGGCCCAAACTTACCTTCCAGGGGCGGCAGTCACCAAATTTCCCGAGCACACTTTTTAGCAGTTGACTCTCAGCTGGGGGTGAGGGTGGGTTACTTTTTGTCCTTCAGAGAATTGCTAATATCACCATCCTTAATTTGTAAAAGCAGTGAAAGAACAAAACAGGAAAACTACTGAAATTCCAATATTCGTTTAGCAGTTTTCAGCTTTATGGATCTGGATCATTGTAAGCATCATGCCTGAAGTCTTTTGTTGTTACTATAATAATGATGATTAAAAGTAAGTCATGCTCCTTAAAAATAACATAGCTATGGGACAATTCAACATGTCTCTTTTTCATGTTCGGTATCTTCCCTTGAACACCTAAGGCTGTGCATTAAAGGGTAATAATGCTTTATTTGAAAGGGGCTTCCACATAAGCTGAGGAATCTCTCAGATGTCCAGGTTTTCTATAGCTGCTGTGTCATCTTGTGCAGTAGAAAGTCCTTAAGTAGGAAGATGATGACAGGAACCTCTGAGGAGAAACCTGAAACTTATCAGGGAACTGACAAAGAATAAATATTTCATTGCTGGATAGAAACACTCATTCCATATATGTTATTACATATGTTCTTTAATATGTGTGGACATGTACACACATGGAATTATGTTTGTATATATTAGTTATTAATAAGAGGTTTTTTCCTAGTGCAGTTATAGGAAGATACAAAAGATAATACAAAAGACAGGAATACTTTTAAATTTCACTCAAAGCAGATGTAACAGGTGCTCTTAAAAGGGGGCGGGAAATCTGGCTTGAATATCCAGCCAACTGTCTAGGTGCAATTTTAAGGTGATTCCTGAACGCCCATCTTTCCCTTAAGAGAAAGCCTGGGATGTAGGAGGCCTGAAGCTATTCAGAGGATGTCTAGCTAGGACTTGGCTAAAAGGATCATGGAGAGGCTGGAAAGAGCAGCAGGGGCAAAATTTCTTCCATCAACTTTATGGCCTGAGAATCATTTTTATTTGGGCATCAGTCTCACCTTTGCTTTTGTCCCCAACAGCTGGCCTCTTCTGTAAATAACAACAGTTGACCAGGAAGGATCTCTTGTCCTGGGATGATTTGGAACTAGGTGCTGACTATTACCTCTGCTGCTGTCTTTTCAGGAGAAGCTGTTCACTTAGCTCGGGATTTTGGGTATATTTGTGAAACGGAGTTTCCTGCTAAAGCGGTTTCTGAGTATTTGAACCGGCAGCACACCGACCCCAGTGACCTGCACTCCCGAAAGAATATGCTGCTGGCTACCAAGTGAGTGTCCCAGACCCTCAGCCCTCCTCCCTGACTCCCATCCTGCTGCGTCACCTCCTCACCTCGCATGGGGAGGCGATGTTGGGGAACTGGGGAGCGGCAATGCAGACCTCATTTGTGGGGCAGGGAAGCAGCTCAGTGGTCAAAGTAGCTTTTGCAGCCTGTGGATTGCTGGCTAGGAGCCCTCCCGGCTCCACCCTGCTGCCCTTCTCTCTCTCCTCCCTCCTCCTCACCCAAGTTGATTATGGGCTATGGGTTTCTCTTGGTCTCCTCAATTACCAAGTTTCTGGGGGAGAATGGCTTTATTAATATGAATCCAGGCTTTTTACAGTTCTTATCACCTTCTTCTGGGTTGGTTCTTGTTCCAGTTCTTCCCTGGGTCCCTAGGTGCACATTTCTGCCCAGTTTCACATCTCCCTGTCATATCCACGCTCGGGGTGTCTATATGTCACCCACGTGTACCCATCTCTACCCGCAGCTCTAATTATTCTCTTTACTACATTGCTGTTTGGCATCTTCCACTGATGTAAAATTTACTACAACTCCAGAGGGGAAAATAGTAAATCTCTGGCTAAATTTAGGTCTAGAGCTCATTTGAACTTTTACAGTGGGTTTTCTATTTATTTGATTTACTCCTGTCTTTGGCTTCGGTGTCATATTGTTGGTGGTTTATGGCCGGCTCAGGCCTGCAGTGGGCGGCGCTGCGTGCACCCGCATGTTTCTCTCGCAGGCTCGGCCCAAACAGCGGCGCTCATTTATTTAGTGCTGGAGGACGCGGTTTGTTCCGTTGACAGCATAATTTAAAGAAATATATGGAAGGCTGAAAAATCATTTGCTCAAATTTGTCCAGATGTTTTTGAGACGTGATTGGAATTTGATTGCCCCTTTCCGCAGGGTCAAAAAATATTAATGTCCCAGAACTTTAATTGCTTACAGACCCTGCTTTGGGCTTTGAAGATTTAGAATGTTTGACTCTAAGCATTTGTTCTCCCCAGTTCAGAATTTCCTTTTTGGCACTTTGGTAATGAGTACAAACTTAAGGAAAGACTTTAACCATCTCTTCCAATGATCAAAACCTGGCACCCGTCCTGGTTTTGGAAGGTTTCCTTCTGATGCACCAACTAGCAATATAATGGATCTATTGCCCTCCTGCCCCTTGCCTCACTGTCTGGTTGTGGGGGACCTGTCACAGTGCTTTATAAAAGAGTAAATGTACTTTGGGGAAAAAAAAACCAAAGTGCATAAATTAGGTAATAGGAGTCCACAAATGCTATCATTTCTCTAAGGAATGCTTGTAACTTCCCCCACCCCATCACCTCTTGAAACCCTGGGACTTCACTTAGGACACCACTTCTTAACCTGTGGTGAGTATCAGAATCATCTGGGGAGCTTTTCCAAGATACTTATTTGTCAACCCAGTCTCAAGCTCCCTGAATTGGAATCGTAGGGGCAGAGGCATGGATGTGTGCATTTGAGCCCCACAGGTGATTCCGAGGTACCCCTGGCCTAAGAACGGCCCTATCTAGATAGAACCGTTACCCTGTCTCTTCCTAGCTGTAAGAATGCATGCGTGCATTTCGAGTGGAGAAACCAGTAGAGGGGAGGGTAGAGAGAGGATACCTGTTAGGATTCTCTACCCACCAGCCTTTAAAAACAAAACCCTTTCACCTGCTGCGGTGGGGGTGGGGGAGGTAATTCTCTGTCTTGTTCAGGCGTTACTCTTCCTGAGAGTAACCCCCCTGGCAAAGGATGCCCCAGGGTCACTCATATGGGCCTCTCGGTACCTGCCTTGTTTACCTGCTGTCCAGGCCCCACATGCCCCCAAGTGTCAGGCCATGGGGAGGGCAGGGGCGGGGGTGCGGGGCTGAGACTGGACTCCTGTAGTTTTTCTTTCTCACCACGCCCGCCCCCACCAGTGGAAGCGGGCTGCCAGTCTGTGAAAGGCTAGGGCCTTTGGGATGCCATTCCTCTGACTGGTAGCAGAGCCAGGCCATTGGACCTTCCGGGCTAAAACCCTCCTATATTAACCCTCTTGTCCACCTCCTATATTAAAAATTTCTCAAATAAGCTCAATTCGTAGTTAGGCACGTAGGATTTCTAAGGCTGAGAGATTCCTCTAAATTGTAGTTGCCTTGAGGAAATAAAAACCTTCAACAAATAAAAAATCTACCCTCTCCAGTGTCTTAACCATCTACCTGTAGGTTTTATTTAAACATGTAGGAATCCTTTTATATTGACAACAATCCTGTTGTACAAAGATTTTCAGTAGCCTGTGCTTAAAAGAAAGGGGGGAAAGGGGAAAATATACCTTCCTTCCCAAATACTGCAGGTAAACAGATTTTTGCTTTAAATGGAATCAGCATTCTCTCCTGGAATAAACAGTTGCTTGCCCTGGGCCATGCAAGTCTCCGGCAATCTGCTTCTGTGCTAGGGACAGGCTTGTGGCTCAGGGGCCTAAATCTTTCAGGGCTTTTTGAGCCTGATCACCAAGAGGTTAGAGAGGCAGAGGAGAGAAGGGGGAAGGGGTTTTTACAAAACTACCAGGTAAGAGCGAAACATTACTGAATATTCAAAACCCAACGCTAAAGCCTAGCCGATTTCCCAAGCAGAGTTTAAGCGGCCCTGGAATGAAGGTGGGGGCGGGGAAAACTGGATTTGAGAAAAAAGGCAAGGCTTTGGGGTAGAAGGGGCGCCTAACTTCCCCACCCCCGCTTTCCTTCTAGTCTAGTCCCAGCTGCTCCAGAAGGGAGAGCGCTGGGAAGGGAATCAGAGCGGAATCGTCCACATTAGCCTCGCTCCCTGGCTCTATGGTGACCGGGTGCCTCTGGGCTTGTGTGAGCGTCTCCTTTCTAATGCCAGTGACAACGACACTGAGGGTGATTTTTTTTATTCCTCTCCCACCTCTTTGCAGGCAACTCTGTAAAGAATTTACGGATCTGCTGGCGCAGGATCGGACGCCAATCGGGAACAGCAGGCCTAGCCCCATCCTGGAGCCGGGGATCCAGAGCTGCCTCACGCACTTCAGCCTCATCACGCACGGCTTCGGCGCCCCGGCCATTTGCGCCGCGCTCACGGCCCTGCAGAACTATCTCACCGAGGCGCTCAAAGGCATGGACAAGATGTTCTTGAACAACACCACCACTAACAGGCACACGTCTGGGGAAGGCCCAGGTAGTAAAACTGGCGACAAGGAGGAGAAACACAGGAAATGAAAAATTAAAAAAAAAAAGAAAAATGTTTTAAATACAAAAGGAAAACAGAAAAAATTTAATTTTAGCTTTAAAATGTTGGATTGGCTTTGGAAGAATTATATTAGGTAGAATACACATACAATCAAATTTAAAAAAAAAAGAGCTAAATAACTTTAAAAAAAAACTGAGGCGTACAACGGAGCAACAATATCGGTTCTCAGTGTCTATTTCAAGATACACTTGGAGACAAACGTCCGGATTTTCCACTTCGGTTCTTTCGAGCTTAGTAATACTGATAATAAAAGAAAACCATGATTTTCCCCCTTTGGAAAATAAACGTAAGACTAAAGATGAGAAAACGCTAACTTATTGGAAGAAAATCGGAGAAACATTGTTGGTGTCAGTGCTTTGAGAGTTGGTTGACTGAGACGCACGAACTTTTTAATTTTTAATATTTTTTTAGGAAACACTCTTGCAGTCCCCGCCCTTCCACCTCACTTTACCCCTCTCCCAGCCACCCTTTTCTACATTGCCCTCCCTCCCTCAAGCTGTCATGGGAATTTTCCGGGATGAAAACGAGTGTGGTTAGCCCCTTTGCGTTGTGTTTCAGTCCCCTGGGTGCCCCCGCCCCCGCCCCGCCCCGCGTTCTTAACTCACCGGCGCTCAGCTCCCAGGCCGTTGGCACCCTTGGGAGGGCGAGGGCGGGCGGGGAGGGAGGCCCGCGGTGGTGCCGGTGGGGGCTGCTGCTTGTGCCGGGCGGCTGAGCAGAGGCTCCTGCGGCTGAGGAAAATCCGGATCAATAAGTTGATTCAGACTCATCATCAGTTCCTTTCAGAAATGTTACTAATTCCCAGCCTTGCCGGCATCTGCATACAGAGAATCTTGCATTTGTTATATTTGTGTCATCTACCAATTTTAAGAACAATAGTAAAAAAAAAAGCACAATATGAATACGTTGATTAGTATGTAATTCCTTCGGAGGGGTATGTACCATTTCATTCTCTTCTGTTTTCCAAAGCTTTGCCCGCATGGTTTATGAGCTTCTTCAAAGAGGACTTGGGCTTCCTACACAATCTATAAGGTACAGAGAAAAAAAAAATCCGATCCCTTTTTAATCAAAGCCTGTGTGTCAGAATTCTGCAGGTGCACTTCTTTAAAGAAGCTCAAAGGGAATAATTTAGAAAGTGGCCAATAAGAGATTGAAGCAGCTCTGAGTCTAGTTGCTAACAGATACCTCAACATGGAATTCCACGGGAGGGGGAGCTGAAAAATGAATTTTAGGGGAGAAGAGTAAGGGTTCTTGGAGCCCAATATTTTAGCAATATTGCCCTGCCTTTGAAATAGATTCCATTTCCTTGGGCTCTTTGGTGATTGCCGTTTTAGCCGGTGAAGAAGCAGCTTTTTGAGTGGTTGTGGGGAGGAGGGTGATGCAAGCTCCCGTGTTTTAGCAACAATTGCTTTCTTACAAGATGCTTTATGAATGAGACACTCCCCCCTCTCAGACGTGCACTTGTTTTGGCATATAATGGCAAAATAATGAATGCAAAGTGAAAGGAGATGTATTTCAGCTTTGAATTTTACCATCTGTATACACTGGGACTATTCCCAGTGGATAAAGTTTCCTGCATTTAATATCTCTCATTCTGGCAGCCCTGCTCCTTTCTTGGGCTTCATCTGAGCATTATCATGAAATAAGATCTGGAACCCATTGTCCCCACCCTCCCCAAAGCAGTGGGGAATTTCACCCCCAGTGGTCTCTAAACTTAGTGTGGATACACGCACCTCTTTATACCAACTAGACCTTAGGACCTTTGCAACAACCCTGAAAGATAAAGATCCTGTCTGTTCTGCAGGATTTACACTTAAGATTCACTGGGACGCTCAGTTCTGCCGCCCCCATGGGCTTTGGCTTTGGGGGTAGGTTGGAGGATTGGGGTTTAGGCACCTGCTGAGAGCTTTGCGCTGACACTTTTATGGGGGAGGGAGTTTGGGAGCTGGTTTTAGATCACCAGGAAGGTCCTAGCAACGATTTTGGTCACACCCCAGCCCATCTACCGCTAGCTCCTTTGGGAACTTCTGGGTGTACAGGGCTCAGTCGTAGACGAGGTGAAGTACAAAGGCTGGGAACTAAACCTAATGGAGAGTGTAGAGACTCCATCTCTCCCCAGCTCAGAAGCCTGCGCCTTTGTCGGAGGGCCTGGCCGCTTGCGTTATATGTATTCTGATTGCAAAAGGCCAGGAGAAACCACACTGAAAACCATCGTCTCCTTTCCTTGCAGGGCAACGCGCCCCACGCGTGTGACGTGCGAGAGACGCGATGGACGCGCCTTGCTCTTACTGTGCAGGTCCTGAGAGCGTGTGGGCCACTCGCGCCCAGTCGTGTTGAGGACATAGAATCAGCCGCTGGAGGGGCCTCGGGCCGCGCGGGCCCTTTTCGTTCTCGGTCTCACCCTAAGGGCTAAGGCGACCGAGAAAGCCCCATTCTCCAGTAGGTAATGGGGCGGCGCCACGTGGGCTGCAGGCGGGGAGGGGTCTCAGCGCTGCCCGTGCCCTTTGCTACCAGCGGCCGCTCCGGGCGCCTGCTCCCGGAGGGCAAGTGGCCTAGAAATGTCCGGGGAATCGGAAGCTTCCCCAGCCTTTGGCAGGACGAAAACTCTCCCTCCTCACGCTCCTAAAGGCGGGTGATGGGATACGAATTGTCCATTTTGGCTATGCAGGCTCTCTTCATCGCCCTTCGCCCTCATTGGAGTGTTCCTCCCGCGCCCCCGCTAAGTAGAGCCCCTTGCGCGCCTCCCGCGCCCCACCCCCCGCGTGGAGAGAGCCCACTGCCTCCCTCGCTCCCTCGCTCCCTCACTTCTCCTTTTATGTACTACCCCTGCCCCCTTTGCTTTCGTTAGCCAGGCCCGCTACGTTTATCTGATAATTGAGTTATTAAAAGATTTGGTTTCCTTGGGCCCATAAATCAATAAACAGTAGGATTAACGCAAGAGTTTGCCTTTTAAGTCAAGGGAAACGTTTAAAACAAGGCCTTTTGAGCTTTGTTTTCAAACCAAACAGGTGAGTTGCAGCTTTTCCTCCACCCTGCACTCTTGAGACATTTTATCCTTGCCGCGTGTCCCCTCCCGAATGCTTAGTCCCAAACCAAAAAAGCTAAAGCTAGAAAAAAGGAGTCAGGATGTGGCAACGCTGCCTTCACACTTTCCACTTCGCAAGTTCCTTTTGGAGGTTCCAAAGGTCTCCTGACCATTCTCTGTCCAACCCTGCCTCCTCCTACAGGTATCATGGGTCTCAGGGGAGGAAAAAAAAAAAAAAGAAAAAAAAAGAAAAAAAGGCGGAGGAGCTCTCTGAGAGAGGCTTCCACCATCAAAATGATCTGTAATTTCTCCCCCAAACTGGGAAAGTAACTTTCTCTCACCACTCCCACTCCCAAAATTATCTTGCATTTTCTTTCCTTCTCTCTGGCTCCACATCCTTAGCTTTCTCCACCCCCACATAAAGAACTGAAGAGGCTTTCAAAGACCTGGCTGTTTTATTTTCTTTGGCCAAGGAAGCCGCTTTCTCTCAAGCAATTATTTCATATCCTATGAAAACTTTGGTTGAATGGAAAACCTGAAGCCCGGACTTATCTACACACTGTTCCTCTGGTACAAAGCCTTACTTAAAAGGGCAACTCCTTCCTACTTAGAGTGTTTATAGAGAATTTGTCATCACATCTGATATCCTGTATGCGTAATACATTATGTGGAAAGGAAATAATAATCTTAAAGCATCTGATGTTGCCTCAAGAGCCCAAACAGTGTTTCCCCTCCTGTGCCAATATATGTTAAATTATCGGGGTTAAAAAGAGAAAGAAAGAAAAACAAAAGAAAGAAAAGAAAAGAAAAAGAAAGAAGAGTAAGAAGAAATATCAAAATATCAAAATTCATTTTTGTTTTCTTTCAAAAAGTGGAATGAACACAATTCTTTAAATGCCAAAATTGACTCCACTGTTGAGTTGGTCTCTAATTCACTAACATTGTTTTTGCCACACAATCAAGAAATATCAATCTATTGACTCTTCGGAAGAAGAGTTCTGGAGGGTATCCATGTTAAGTTTGTATATATTTATTTATGCTTAATTTAATGGGAATGTGTAAATATGGCAAGTAGTTTGGGATTATTTATCTGTGAATCTATACCTCTGTGAATGGGTGGTTAAAAAAAAAAAAAAAGAAAAAAAAAAAAACGCTTGACCCTAGGTAGAATCCTATCTGAATTTTTCTGTTCTTTATAGACAAGCTGTTACGGTAATGGGTAGAAATTGGTTTATTGTCCAGTGTTGATCTGATTTACCCAAATAAAAAGACTGTTGTGTTTTTGTTGTGTTTTCATCTTCAGTTTCTTGAATATGGACATTGTTTAATTCTACAAACAGAAAAAAAGTATAGCCAAGAATTCTTTTCCTTTTTGTCTCCTCTCACCAAAACACAGGCAATGTTTTCATTACAGCATAAATACAATAAATTTTGCTTCTTAGAAAAACAGACACTTTTGTTTTCACTAGGAGGTGTTTTTTATTTTCTTAATTCCAAGTTGACACTCTTCTCTCCTCTTTCTAACTAGATTTGCAATAAAAGCTCGTTAACTGCATCTCTTGGTTTATTTTTGCCCTTTAAAAAAATGTGTCAAATTTACTTCCCAGGTAACTAAAAGACTCTGTGTCCCAGTAACTAAAGGGCTCTGGGTCCAAGTCAAAGATGATGCTCCCCTCCCACTGCTAATGGGATAGCGTTCTGGCATGGTGTTCTTGGAGGAAATGGTGCAGGAGATGCCCACAGGGCCAGGTATGGGCTCCTGCACCCCACACCTGGGGATCTGGAGGAGTTAACTGGCTTATTTCAGGAATGAACCCAACCCTGACCTCACCAGCTATGCAAGGCCCTCCATAAACAAGTGAGGAACAGCTCCTTTGACCCAGAGGAGGAAAAAGACATAGTTGTCTTAGGAGGTTGGTTCTTACCTTAGGCTCAGAGGCTGCCTAGAGAAGCCAGAGCTTTTCTCATTTGGGTTAATGGGCTGCAGCCCAGCCCTAATGGGCTGCAGTGATCAAACATCTTCTCAATCTGTATTTCATCCCAAGGCTTGGGCGTCTTCCCTGAGGCAAGGAAAGTAAAGTCATCCAAGATGTTACACAGTTTGGACAAGTCACTGTTTCTCTTTGGACCTCAAGGTCTTTATCTGTAAAAGGACTCCTAGGGTCCAACATCCAAATATTGCCTGGTTTAATTATAAAAAGCAGAAACAGTAACATGTATATACATTTAAGGATAATCAACAAAGTCGAATCTTGATAACTCCAGATTATGAGAGTACTTAGCATGTAGTTGGTGCTCAGTTAATTAATAATATGCCTCCCATATCAATTTTCTGTTTTTCAGGTGAATCATTCCTAGTTGGACTTCCCTATAGGGAAAGACAGAAGGGACAATGGAATCTGCTTTATGTGAGATTTTCTACTTCTTGGCTTCCTTATTAACTAAAGAAAGGGGGGGAGGGTATCATGGCTAGAACTCTAAAGTGACTAAATCATAGAAACCACCCCCCCCAGGAAAGGAAGGGAAGTAGAAGGAAAGAAAGAATTGCAAGGGAAATGTGATTAAGAGGCCATGCAATCCATTTATCTATAATGAAAATAGGTATACGTATTTGTCTCTGACTCAACTGTATTACATTGAGTTCCCTTTCCATTTGCTTTTTGGAGAGTAAGGGCTTGGTTACCACTGGGATTCTACAAAAGAAGTGGTGAGTAACTTCCATCTCCTATGGCAAATTCTCCTAAAGGAGTGTCAGCTCCAGCTCTGGTGAAACAGACCTGTCATCTATTACCCCAGAGGTAAATTCCAGACCACCCCTCTTCCCACCACCATTTGACAAGGAGAGTATCTGAGACAATCATCTTTACTAGGTAAAACCCAGGATCCTGAGAGTCCCAAATGTGAGAAAGAGAACTAGGGGAAGACATGAAGAACTAGAAAGAGAAGGAAAGGGGTAGGAAGCCTGAGACAGCCTTTACCTAACAAAATGGCCTTGTCACAGCTCCCCAATCCCTTCCGTACTGTTTTACCAGTCTTCAGAGGGAGTTAGGAAAGCCACAGTTGGAACCGCTAGGCAGAGGACCCTGACCACAAGCCCTGCACAGGGACCCTACGTAACCTTGGAGGAAGTGTCGCTGCCTCCCCTGCCTGCTAGGAGGCAGCCAGCCGGGTTGAGCGGCTTACAGTGCCCCCTTAAGCCCGCCTGCCCGCCAGTATTAGCGGCTTAAGGGCCCTGATTAAAAATAATGCTAGGAGGAAGACTCGATTATTTTTTTATGAGGCCACATTCTTTTCCTTCGTTTGCAAATAACAGCCCCATGGGGTCCCTCCCCTAAGACCCCGGGGCAGCCCGAGCTTAGAGCCCCTAGAGAGATACTGGCCTGAGGGGATGTGTCCCTTCCTGAGGGTGATCAGGACTCCCTGACGCAAGCTGCCTTCCATGCTTGGACTTCGAGGGAGGGCGGTTGTCTGTCATGTAGAAGCCTCAGAAATTAAACGCGCAGCTCACAAGTCCATTAATTTTAGCTTCCCATTAATCTATTTATAAGTGAGCCAGCGCTGGCTCTATAAATACAGTCCTATAAAATTGAACTCCTTCCCATAAATCTTCCAAGTTGTTTATTTATATGTATTCCCTCGCCCTCTAACGAGCCTCGTTTAAAATTGGGGAAGATTCCGGCAGACTGGACCCAGGATGGGGTGTGCTCACCCCTCGCTAACTTCCTGGTTGGAATCGTAAGCTCCTAGGGAAGGAAGGAAATGCACGGAGGCAAAGGGCGAGGGGGTGGGGTGGGAAAAGAGGGCGAAAACTCATTTTTCCTTCTTGACTTTGTTTCCTTGTTTCTAATCCCAAACTCACGCTCTCCATATTTCCCATCACAAGCTCCACGTTGTTTTATATCGTCATAAACAGCATTCTTGAGACTATAGCTTCTCTCATAGCTTGGGGTGAGCTCCTTTTTCACTTCCTTAGCAGCCACTACTTTTAAATCAGGGCTCATAAATAACCACGTCGCTTCTTTAGGATGAGGTCAGTCAAACGCCTCCTGGGGTCCACCGTCTTGCTTGGATTCCCTCCCTGCCCTGCCTCAGGTCACTAGTTGGCCACTCCCACCGCCTTTCCCGCACGTTTCCAGAACGCAGCCGCGGACAGCAACGTTGAGCCTGGGCACCAGAGCGTTGACACTCACACCCAGGCAAGGTGTCCGCGTGCGCACGCACGTACTTACGCGTGCGCCGCCCCTGCCTCCGCCAAGCCCACGCATACCGCGCCGCTGCCCGAGTCTAGGCACGCTCTCCGGGTTGCGCGACAGAGTGTCAAGAATCGCGCACGCGCGGACACCCGCGCCGCGGTGCTCTGGGGCTCAACTCCAGGCCCGGCTATTGCCCAGGGCGCCGCACAGGCTTGCAAGGATTTTTGCTGTGCGCCCTCGGGATTGAGGCGCCAAGTTTGCAAAAAAAAAAAAACAAAAAAAACAAAACAAAACAAAACAAAAAAAAACCGGCTGTAGTGTGTGTGTGTGTGTTCGTTCAGATTGAGGGAGCAGTTTTGTTACACAAGTTCAATACGTTACACGCAGGTCACAAGCTAGCAAGGTCAGGCGGTGATTTTTTGCCCACTTGTTCGAAACCTTGCTGGTTCTGCCCACCCTGCTTCTTTTCGCCATTTCTCTTCTCTCTGAAGGTCTGCCGCCTTCTGGAACTGACTCAGGCGAGAGGCGTCCAGACCCAAGTAGGGGTCACACCTGCTCCCGGGAGTGGCCTCTGCATAAAAATGCTTTTTAAAAACTTCAGAAAGCAGTACAGTAGCCAATGGACTTAGCAAAGCGTGACTTGCCCAGACCGCAAGGAGGGCAACTCTGGCAGTCATCTGTAACTCGCCCACCAGTTAACGTCCCGGACGTGCCTGTTAGTGGAGATATTAGCCAATGTTTCTAGGATGTGGCTGTCGAATGTCATTAGCCAACACACTTAACTGAAAGGCGGGCATGGGCAGGGCATATATGCGAATATTTTGGGGAGGTCAGAGCCCGCCCTCTCTAACAGTCAAATGTCTCTTCCTCTGGGGACATTGATCAAATGGCCAGAGAAGAGAAGCTGGTGCAAGAATAGCCATAGTATAGAGACGTGGGAAGGGAAGTTTCTTTGGGACTGAGACTGTGCGTGCGAGTCTTTTCTGGTGTGGAAACTTGACCTAGGTCAGAGCTGTACTACGGGAGACGGAAGTGGAGGATCGAGTCAACCCAATGAGTCCTAGCCCTCCACGTGTGAACCACTGGGTCCTGAGCGCTAGAACCTGGCCTCCGGATGAGCAATTAGAGGATGGGCAGCTTTGGGAACACCCGATTACGGAAGGGCCCCTTGGCTATTCAAGTAGGCAAAGTGAGTGCGACCATAATCCGAGTTTCTAAGGAAGTAGGATTTCAGATAACTTCTACACAGCGGTGGTTTTTACTGTTGAAATGTCAACCGGTCTAGGTTTGGAAAGGGGCCGGAAGGGGTTGTACAAAATGGCTGGGAAAATCACAGTCAAGACAAGGAAAAGAGTATCAAACCAAACCAAACCTCAGTGTTCCATCAGCCCTCACAAAAAAAGGGGAGGGCAGCACTAACTTTGAGATCAAGGTATTAATCGTGGACCAGAGTGAATTTTGTGTATATGTTATCTTCCTTTATAAATGATTCTACAAGGAAACTAGGTGAGAGACCTTTTGGGGGGGGGGGCGTGTAGCTGTTTACACACACACATACAAAATTCACAATATGGGAAGTCCCCAAGACCTGGACTAAACAGAAAACAGCCACAGTGAAACACTTGCCAGTGGGAATTTTCTTTGCCATGAGAGTCCCATGTGTTGGAAAGATTTTTTTTTTTTCACATCCTATGTTTTAGGGTCAAGACCAAATTCTTTTGGCCAGAGATTCCTAAAGATAGGAAACTTCTAAGAGATGAAGCAGAAGCACACTTTACTCTTTTTAATGTGTTGTTTCACACACTTTCCCTTTTGCTGTCTTTAGGAAGCAGGGGGCAAAGGCATGAGCCCTACCAACAAAATGGGCCCCCTGAGTGATTCATTCACTTTTATGTTCAATCTAAATATTCTTTTCTTTTTCAAAAAAAAAATAAGGGCCATTCAAGACAATGGGGCCAAATAATCCAAAGAAGGATCTCGCTGATCTGGGTCCCTGTGACCTTTTACCCTTCCTTTAATTCTCAATAGTGAACATCTGTGTTTGGTGGACAATGTCTGAAAGTAATAAAGACAATTAGAGCATTTTATTTTTTCTTGGGGGAGAGGGGTTTGGTTGCCAGTGTGGAGAGGTAAAAACTTGTCTATGACACTGTTTTGCAGGGTGAAACTAGGGGAATACCGGCCACTAGGCCTTGCTGCTTGATAGGACCTGAGGAATTGAGCATAGTAATGATGTACACTGAAGTTATAGGTAATTCATATTGCTCCTTTGTTTATTAGCCTGTGTAAAATTTTTAAAAACAATCCTTTCGTTTGTCAACTCTACCACAAAAAGAAAATAATGTCCACCTCTCTCCAACCTTGTTCTGAGTTTCCTTCCAATTGTGAAGACTATTAAATTAGGTTCCTGAATACATGCTCCCTCTCCCACCACTTTTGTGAAGGCTCTTCTCTATCTTCCCCCTAAGAACAAACTATCATCAAGCCAAAGCCAAACAACTTGACATGTTAATTGATTGAAAAGTATTTTAGCTTTTGGTGTGTAAAATTGTGAAATCCACCAATCTTGGGGCCACTTGAAGGGGTCAAAGTTCTGAAAGAATAAGATATTTTAGGGATAATCAACTAGAGAAACATATCTCCCAAACAGATGTCAGGAGTGAAAGAACATGTTTTCTTAGTATGTGTTGTCCTCTCGGCACACTCTTTTGTGGGTTTTTGATGATGCAAAGGTGGTTTCTTGTAAAGGACATATGAATGTCCTCATGTGAATGAGCAAACCTGTTACACATCCATGCATGAAACTACATAACTGTTTTTTTAAAGATTCATGTATTTATTTTGAGAGAGAGAGAGGGAGTGTGAGTGAGTCCGGGGAGGGGGTGGGGAGAGGGGGCAAGGGATAGAGGGGCCAGAGGGAGAGACTCTTCCAAGCAGACTACCTGCTGAGTGAGGAGCCCAGTGTGGGACTCGACCCCACAACCCATGAGATCGTGACCTGAGGTGAAAACAAGAGTCAGATGCTCAACCCATTGAGCCATTCAGGTGCCCCACTACGTAACAATTTAAAATTCTTCAGTGAAGTTCAAGTTGAAAACTGACTATATTATAGACTATATTATATATGGACTGTTATATATTGCATGTAATATATGTATCTCCCGGAATCTCAGTTGCAGTGTAACTCTTTTTTTTTTTTTTAAGATTTTATTTATTTATTTGAGAAAGGGAGCAGAGCCAGGGAGAGAGCAGGAGTGGGGGCTGGGAGGGGCAGAGGGAGAAGGAGTAGCAGGCTCCCCACTGAGCAAGGAGCCTGATGCAGGGCTCGATCCCAGGACCCCGGGATCATGACCAGAGCCGAAAGCAGACGCTTAACCAACTGAGCCACCCAGGCGCCTCTGCAGTGAAACTTTTTTAAATGGAGGTGTTTTGGAAACATTTTTAATGTTCTAAAATTTGTAGAAGGGTGTGTGTTTAAGAACCAGAGCATGAAACTAAAATGAGGCTAGTGTTTTCCCGTCCACTGGACACTGGATGGCTTCTGTGCATGTCATCACTCTAATGTGCACACAGAAACATGAGTTTGTAGTTGAATTGTTCTACATTTAATCACATATGTGCATAAGCACACACAGAAGACTGTTTTCATTCATCTTTTCTCCTTGATGTTAAACACATGTTGGGAATTTTGGAACTCTGACTCCTCCAGATCATATTTGTGACTTTGTTCTTACACATGCAGTTTAGAAACCTACAAGGTGATAACTAGGTTATTCTTCCTCTCTCTCTCTCTCTCTCTTTTTTTTTTTTTTTGCTGTTAATAACTCTGTCCTTCTTCCTTTTCTCTCCCCCACTGGTTTCAGCCCCTCCCCAGCATTCTGTCAAGCAATAGGCTGTAAAATAGTTATCCAGACCAGCAGCCAGGCAAGTGCCGGTTGAGAGTAATTTCTGCCCCAAGCATTTAGCCCAGGGCAAAGCAAGCGTGCTCTCTAACTGATCAACCTGGATATTTCATTATTCATTAATTTACTGTTTAACCAAATCCCACTCATTATCAGAGGCAACGCTTGGCAGAGCCCAGCGAACAGTAGCAGTTGGTGTCAGGCGTGGAGAATTGGCCCATTTGATCCTGGGCTGTTTTATTATTCAACACCACTGACTGAGAAAGAGGTCCATGAATAATAAAGAGCCAAAGCGTGTTTGAACTGAGAAGCATGACACAGCCTTACAAAACAGCAGTTAGAAAATTAAAGGCAAGGTGGCCCAGACTTTGCATTTTTTATCTTGGCTGTGGGCACAGACATTTATATCCCTACATTGTTTTCAGTGATTTTTTTTTTTTTTTAAGTCCTTAAGACAGACACATTTGTTTCAGTCAGTCTCACCCTTTCAAAACAGACCATTGAAGAACTCAGGAGCAAACTTACGCAGCAAGAAACAAACATGCCTCCAGATGGGAACTTGAAAATGTCATTTCTAACCTTATAATCAGTAAGGTCCTTTGTGGTCCTTCCCAGCTATGGGCAAGATTTGGGTGATTTTAATTCTCCTTTGGACCTGCCATGATTCATACCCTGGGTTTGTTTAATAATATAATTCATGATGCTGATCAAACACATGTTAAATTCCTTTTCTGTCCAACTGGTTCCTTGATAAGGCTTTGGGTCCATGAGCCCCTGGCCACAAAGGTCACATAGCAAGGGCTTTAGGGATACTGTAGGTCATATCTAAAATCTCATTAACATGAGAGAAGGGCCTATGAAATATATAGGGATGAAGGGAGGAGTTTATGCTCCCTCAGAAGCACCTTTTTTGAGTTTGCAGAGGCAGTGGTGGTCATGAATTCTTTGAGGCTCTGTTAAGTCTGTAAATGCACAATTGAGTTGAACACACTTGGATCCATTGGT